AGACCCCTAATAATTCCAAATGAAAATATTTACAGAACCAAAATCCAAAACTAAAATAAGAACAGAAATCTTATGTAGTCGAAAGAGTGAGTGACTGTATATGCTTCATCACGATCAAGCTTTAAGCCTGGTACTGACGAACACCTGAAAAATAAGAGTGGGTTAAGCCCACATGCAAGTTTCATCCTACTACAATCCATACATAAACCCGATACGCAGATACATTCTAGATAGCTCGGCAATAACTAAAATAGTCCATATAGATGTAGATACACACTATAGGATGTTTACTAGCCTATAGTGTAGTTCAGCCAGCATAGAAGGTAACATGTAAATCACACTTTCCAGTGGCCATGTATATCTCCTGTCAGGGAACATCAGCAATATCTAGTTACCCATCCTTTGCGATATATGCACCCTAACCATGATCCTGAGTCTCAAGCTCATATCACAGTACCATAAGTATATATATATAAATCCTTCCTAATACAAAAAATAATACAGAAAAATAAAAGAAACATCCGTTATGTCATTCAACTGTTTTAGTTGACAGGACATGCATCCATGTAGGATTTAACTATTTTAGTTAATCCATTCTGTATGTATGAAGAGGTAAGACTTAGCGTTTTGATCTAATCCATCCCCAATATGCCACCATCCCATACCGGTGCATACAATGCATATGATCCATAAATAATGCACACTCAAATGAACATCAAATACATCCAGAGACAAACATAATAGAAATCAGATATAGATAAGATCCTGTCATGCATCCAGTATATGATTATAATTATAGAACATTCGTTTAAATTGCTAGAGTAAATATACACAATTTAAACTATCCATATCCATCCAATTGACAAAACAAATATTATAATCGTTCATCAATTTAAAATTCATAGCATGTTATAATGATAATCAGAAGTATTAACTGAGCACATTATACAAAAATCCCATAAATCCTTTCATACTAGTCCATTAAATTTACTAAACAAGACTAGTAATTTAAACCTTCCACAATCCTTAACAGCATGCGAATTATTATATAAATTTCATAATGTCCATTTAATCCTTCATTATGAATCCAAGGCATGATACAATCATACTCAAATCCTACAATTTCATTCATATTAGTCTGTTTACTTTGCTAAACCCACCACTAGCAATAAAGCTTTCCTATTCCGTGACAACATGCAAATTATTATTTAAATTTCATAGAGTCCCTGAACACAATATAAACCAACACTCCTAGCCTTCATTAAATTATATATATATCAATTATGTAAAAACAAAACCACAACTCTCATACTAGTCCATCTAGTTTACTCAACAAACTAGAAATCTAATCTTCCTCCTGACTTGACAGCATGTATATTTATCTTTAAAAATTCATGATATCCCTTAATATTAGCACACTGGCATATACTAACTATTTTAAGGCTTTAACAAGTTAATTTTAAACATTTAAAACCCCACAATATTTTCCAAAAATTACCTCTAAATCCCTGGAATCCAAAAAACATTAGAAAACACCCCGTAGGGGTATTTTGGCAAGGGAGCCAGCTCCCCCTTCATGAGAGCCGGCTCTACCACCCTTGGAGTCGGCTCTCCCTCATGGAGAGCCGGCTCTCTCACCTAGGGAGCCGGCTCGCCGGCTCTTTCCCTGAGAGCCCTTCTCTGCTTCGTCCGTTCATTTTCTTCGCTTCTGACGAAATTCCCAACTCTGTCCCAATGGTTTTTAAACTTCTTAGGGTCTAATTTAAATCCAAACAGTCCTAGAAACTCCTCATATTTCATTAAAAATTAATTTACCAAAGTTTACAACCTAATCGAAACAGTTTATGTGAAACAGTTACAATTTAAAAAAAAAAAAAGCATACAACGGATTACAGTTTAATTTATCATGCATAACACATCCATTTTAAAGTTTAATTAACTTCCTGGAGACCATATAGAATGCACAGAACACAAGTTTACAGGAAGGAGATATAATGAAACTTGCCTTTAGGTTTCAGTTTGAAACCTTTCAACGTCGTCTCTAAATTCTCCGACGACTGCTGACCACCGATAAACCTCATACCGCTCGGTTCAATCCCACAAGCCATCCATTCCTTCCTCTTTGATACAACCTTCAATCCACGACTGAAATCCTAACTAGTGGTTCTCATAGTTTCCTCTCAGGCTCCCTCTGTTTTTCTCTCAAAAACCATTCCGTGTGCCTCTGTTTTCCCTCTTAAGAACTATTACGTGAATAGGGCTCTCTAACCCTAACAGATATATATTGTTCTATATATATAGGTTGCTATCTTAAGTCGGCAACCATAACCTCATAAAATAAAACCCTAAACCTAAATCATTAATACGACCCTATAAATTAAACCAACCAAGTCCAACTAAGCATACAGACTTAACACAAATAAATTATACAAGCCATAAAATAAAACACGTCATTTAAAACAGTAGTTAAACAAATAAATAAATTAAATCACTATTACACAATTAAATAATTACTATAAATAAATACACAATTACAATTAAATAATTAATTTAAATACACACAAAAAGTCAATTAAGCAAATAAGTCACATAATTAAATAAAAATGCAATAAAATCTAAAAAAACATTAATAAAAATACCCAGACTATCCTTTTTTAAAATTAGGTGTATTACAACTAAAGCGGAAACGCTCTTCAACCCTCTAATCTTCTCTTTGCGTACAAGATAATGGATTCCAGACATTTTACACATATATATCTGAGGGTTGGGATTGTTCCACATAAACATTAAAAGGTGTGTTGGTTCATCAACTAACACAACTCTTCATATATGCAACTATACACCCTTTAAGAAGTGATAACGTACCTCAATTAAATATGATACAACATTTCTTACATATATGATCTAATGATTAATATTACTCAATTATTGTTAGGCTATTATTTGCTTATAACATATATAAGTATCTCTTGTAATTAAGTGGACACTATCAATTCCATAATGAATCGAAATATAATACATTGAATTCACTAATTGTATAAAGCATAAATATTTCAAAAATGTTAGGAACATATGTCATTTTAATCCAAATAGAAATTTACTATACCAGGACATATAAATCTCAACAGTCACAACTAACCCTAAAGGGTGGGTCTGGTTCTCTCTCCCCCTGTTCATAATTTTTGGCTTTAATTTTTTCTTGGTTTGATATAATTTTGGCTAGCTTTAAGGATTTGGAATTATCTGTATATGCAGTCTCTGTTTTTTTTTTTTTTTTTTTTTTTTTTGGTTGAAATGTTCTAGTTTTTTGTGGGTTTAATCTTGTTAAGCTTGGGAACTTGATTTGTTTTGTCATTTTTAAGGCTTTTGTTTTAGTCACTTTATAGTCTACCCATTTGGAATTCTCTGTATAATGTCTATTATTTTTGTTGATTTGTTTTATTTTTTGGTGGGTTTAATCTTGTTAAGCTTTGGAACTTGAATTGGTTTTGTCATATTAAGGCTAATTTAATTCAAGGAATGTAAATTAATTACTAATAACAAGCTAGTAATGTAAATTGATTCCTCTTGTAACTGAGCTTTTTGCCTGAAACTGTAGAGACAGTTAATTTGGTCTATTAAAAAAATTAAAAAAGGTTAAAATAATAAATTTATAATTTAAATAGGACAATTTACAAATCAAAAGACAAAGCATTAAGATCAATTTACCTTCAAATCACATATTTTTAAGTTTTGCAAATTCGGAGGGGCGACTAAATGACAGGCGCCTGAGGATTTATCTGTCAAAATTTTATAAGATATTGTTGATTTTGTATTATGCATGCATTTCTTATTATTTTTCCAGTTGGACCATCTTGTTAGAATTGAAGTTGATAGGTATAAGAATGATAGCACGTCATTAATTTTTATGTATTAGAATCAATGTAATGAAATGATGCCATTTTAGCAAGGAGTGAGAAAAGATGTTAATTCATGATTTGCACAGTTTATGCTTACTAGTACACTAGCAATGTTGTTGATATATTAATTCACGTTTTTTTGTACTTTTATGCATAATTTAGGATTCAATAGAGTAGTATATTATTGATTTAGATGTTTTTATTTATTTATTTATTTAATTTTTTTAACTCACCCATCACAAGCATTGTTAAAAAAAAAAAAAGGAAGTCTTTCTTTGATATAAATTTCGGATTTAATAGAATATTAATGATATAGCTTTTAATTTTTTTTTTTAATTTTTTTTTTTAATTTCCTCCCTTTCTTAGGAGCATGCGAATTATATGCTTACATACAACTATTATGTGTGTGTGTATATATATATATACACACACACACTGTGGAGCATCATAAATTTTTATAGATGTTTGTAGATTATACATATATTTTTATGTACTCGCATGCTACGATTGAATGGTTGAATGATAATAAGATAATGTTTTTAAATCAAAATATTTAATACAAAAAATAATTTTAGATCATTGACAAAAAATTCACATTTATTTTGTTCTTTTGAAAAACTGTCACCATCCACTTTGAGAGGTAAAAGAGATACTACTTACACCATCGGTAAAAATAATAAAAATAATAATAATAATAAATATCTATTTATTGATTTAAGGTGGAAAAAAAAGCTTCAAACTATTCCATTTTTATGGAACAATCCTCCGAACTATTTCTTTGCAAGTAGCACCCTTATGGTAAAAAAAAATTGCAATCGACCCCCTTCCCTTGAATAGGAGTAAAATATCTAAAAAAAATATATTCCCACGTCTTTCACCCTTATGGTAAAAAAAAATTGCAATCGACCCCCTTCCCTTGAATAGGAGTAAAATATCTAAAAAAAATATATTCCCACGTCTTTCATTTGACTTTTGATTTTTTATACCTTTGGCTTTCATGACTTCTTTACCCTTTTATAGTGAAGGCTTTATCACCATGGAATCGTTTGAGAGACCTGTGCAACATAAATTTCAACAAACTTGCTTGATACCAAGTAAAAATTCAAGAGAATGAGAATGAGAGCTTTATTATAAAAAAAATTCAACGATCACAAGAGACAGAAATTTACAAAGTAATATGAGTTGCTTAATTTTCTAATTGGAAGCTAAATGTTTAGCTTTTTATTTTATATTCACATGTCCCCAGCGAGAGTTAAACCGTCAAACACTGGGCTCTTAAGAAAATGGTGTACCATTGGGCTTTTTATTTTATATTTTCATTTGTCTAATTAAAATATCTCCAAATCTGGAATGCTCCCATTCATTTTCCATGATTATTTTTAAGAGGTTGTTCTCAATTTTTCAAGAGCTTCACCGGCCGGCAATCTGGTAGAGAGACGAAGCTGGGTATATTCTTCAATAGAGAAAGGAACGTAGAGACGAGGGTGTTTAGAATCAACAAGCTGTGGTGGTGCTTCCACTTTTGTGTCCTTTGGTCCTAACATAAACAAAACAGTCGACACCCTTGTATTTCCTTCGTTGCATTGCACTCTATGCTTCACGTTGTTAAATCTTCCATTGCTCCATGCCTGTAAGACATTATTGTTAGAATATATATATATATATTGTGTGATATATTGCATGTGTGTTTGGAGAAAGAAAAGAAAATATTTGTTCAAAACCCACCTTAGCAATGTCTCCAACATTGACAACAAGGGTGCCTGAAACTGGATCAACAGGAATAAGTTTACCAGACTTGTTGTCCACAATTTCTAGACCGTTAACTTTATCATCCTCTTGCAAAAAGGTAAGAAAACTAATATCTGTGTGAATCGGGGCACCAGTTAATCCTACGGTTTCAGGAGTGAACCGGTAGATGTTTAATCTGAACCGGCAAAACCATCCCTTGAACAATTCACCCTCCAGCCCCAAACCTTCACCTATTCTGTTTCCTATATTCATGGCCAACTTATGCATAGCTTCACTGTATTTCATCATTGTCTCCCTGTAACAAACAAATCATAACATTTTGTTGTATCTCTCTCTATATATACACATACACACACATAAACATATTCTAATGAGAGATAATATATATGCGTACCTTTGTCGAGGAGTGACATTTAGGCTAGAGCAAAAGGCCTCGAGAGCACCAGGAGAGGCCATGTCATACACATCCATACCTTCGAGAAGACTGATATTTTCAACAGGTGCACTGTAGCCCTTGCCAAAGCCTTCACGGTCAGGTGCCCGCTGCTTGATTTCCAGAGGAAGGTCGAGGAGGGCTCGTGTCACCGACTTCATTTCTGAGAGCAGTGGCAGAGGGATGCCGTGGTTAGTCACCCTAAAAATTCCCCATTCCTCACATGCGGCTATGAGTTTCTTAGATTGGCCTTCAACCTCTTTCATGTCAATCACTGGAATAGTGTTTGCCATTTTCTTATGTGTTTACAAACCAATATTTTTTTTGGGTTTCTTGTCAAGGAAATATAAAAAAAATGTTGGTTTGTTTCACTTTAGCCCTCTTGGGTTTATTGCTCATAAATCTTAAGATTGCCAAAATATATAGAGGAGTGCTAGCGGGACTGTCGCTAGGTAAGTGTATATGTGATGATTGATTTTGAACCAATACTCCTATATATACTCCGGACCAATGTATTAATTCTGCCTTTTATACGTGGACCACACTTTCTATATGGACCACACTTCCCATATGGAACGTCATTTTCTAAATTCATTTATATCTTTTCTTTTTAACACAAAAATACTCTCAACCTATTTTTAATTTTTATATTTAATTTTACGATTACCACCTACTATAACAATAAAAATTAATTACCAAAATAAAAATAGAAATCAAGAAAAATAATATAGTATATATTATTAAAATTTTGTTTTTGTTTAGATGTTTCTTAAAAATAAATATCTTTACGGCTCATTTCACCTCTATTTTTCATGTTTCTCTCAAACAAAGAAGAAAAATTATAACAGAATTGATAGGGACTATATACTTTTTTCTATTTCCTCTTCTTTATTTATTTTAAAGAAACATCTAAAAAAAAAATTAGTAATATATTCTATTTTTATTTTAGTAATTATCTTTTATTGCTAATATAGTAATATAGTAATTATCTTTTATTGCTAATTATCTTTTAGTAATATATTCTATTTTTATTTTAGTAAAAAAATTAGTAATATATTCTATTTTTATTTTGGTAAAATTAAATATAGAAATAAAAAATAGAATAAGAGTGATTTTGTGTTAATTAAAAGAAAAGAGCATAAGTGAATTTAAAAAATATCTATATATAAAAAATGTGGACTAATTTTCTTATCCCACATGAAAGAAAGGTAACAAGACTCATCTCTACTGTTCTTTAAAAAAGATCTAGAAGGTCAAGGATGTTAAATCCCCCAACAACCTAAAGTAAATGATTCACATGTACGGAAAGCATTTAATTAGAAATCATGTTTTCTATCTAGGTCAATCCAATCTAGGGGTAAATAAGAAATGGGGGCGTGGATCCTCTGCCGTAAATCATGCGGTAATGTCAAGTTCGTAACTTACCTTTTTAGTCTAATAAATTGGATTTTGATTAAATTTAAATAAGTTTTTGTCTAATTAGCAAATTATTAGTTCTAAATATTTGTCTATATTACATTATTATAATTTTCCTCCCTATCAAATCATAGGAGCACTGCACTATTTCTCTTTCTTCTCCATTCTCTCTCATCCACTTCCAGTCTTTCCATATAAATTCTTTGTGTTTAAAAACAGTTATCAATTAATTTATTTTTTATATTTCAAATTAAGAAAATCCACATTTCATAATTTTAAAAAAATCTATAAAGAAATAGCTAATTATTTCTATATTTAAAAATTGTTACTCCATGAATATCTCATGTATATCCGAAATTTCAATATCATTATTTTTTAAGATTATTAATTGTACTTTATAAATTAATTAGTGGCAGTAGAGGTTGGTATTCAAAATCACTCTAATAAAAAATTAAAAACATGTGTATTTAATGAATAAACCATAATATAAGAAACTAGGGTTAGCATATACTAACACTATCTCATAAGTTGCATTGTATTTTTAATTATTAATAATTAAAATATAAGTGACAAATCATAATGTGGTGTCTAAATATGGGTACTCTATGAATTTTCTTTAAATAAAGAGAATATATAAACTTAATTTCTAGTAAGAATTATAAATAAATAATTTTTGTGTAATTGGAAGAAATCCTGAGGAACAAAAATAGTGCGATGATATTGGAATATCTGACGCTGCACAATAAATGAAGTCTGCTGATAGATTATAAAAAATATATATTTGTTTTATTTCTTTTAATTTATGTCTTCATTTTTTATATATATACATTAAAATTAATTTCAAAATGGTATTTAAAATAATTTATCAATCAATTTATTCTTTTGTACTTCAAATTAAGAAAATACACATTTCATAATTTTAGGAAAAACTAGAAAGAAATAACTAATTATTTCTATGTTTAAAATTTGTTACTACATTAATATCCCGCGATACCGGTTGAATATATGTGTAATGACGAATAATGGAATAATGTTGGCGTGTTTGAAATTTTAATATTATTATTTTTAGGATAATGCCCGTCTCTCTAAATATGTATATGTATATAGGAAGGAAAGAATAAAAAAAGATTTTTCCTTTTTTCTATTGCAATGAAATTCTTTCTATTTTATTTATTTTTTCTTTCCTATTCTCCTTTCTCAGAAAAGGGGCACCGGTGAGTAGCTTCACCCTACTCACCCATTGTGTATTCCAATAATAATTTATCAGCTTTAATAAAAAAAAATAAACCACGTCCTCTTGTATTTTCTCAGATCAAACATGTGTTATTTATTTAATTTTTTTTATTAAAGCTCATGTGATAAATTATTATTGAAACACACAAGGGGTGAGTAGGAAAAAACTATTGTAAGTAGCTAAGTATTATCCTCATTTTTATAAAATTATTGTTTGTGATTTATATATTAATAAGAGGCAGTAAAGGTTGGTATTCAAAATCACTCAATTATTGTTATATTAATTGTTCCACTCCCTCTCTTTTATCCTCTTCAGTGTCATTTGCAAATTGAAACAGGAACTTATCCACTGTGATTGGGTCGCGTGGTCCAATCATAAAAATATTTTTAATATGTAATTATAAAATTAAAAAATAATAAATAAGAAAAATAAAGAGAGTGGGTTTATTTATTCTAAAAAAAAGTTATTTTTTTTTATTTTTTATTTTCTTAATTTTATAATTATAAATTAATTGTGTATTTGTAATTAAATCACATCAACACAAATTATTTATTTATCAATGAATAGGTAAATATTATTATAATAAAAAAATATTAAAAAAAATACTCAATATAAATGTTGTGAGTGAAGGTATGAATTTCATCGCCTGTGGTGGAATTCATCCTCCCACTTACAAGTAACTCATTCGAGTATAATTGTTGTTGATTAATGGTTTATATTGTTAACAGAGACACCCACTACAAGTTGTGTGTGGGTGGTGGCCCACATTCCCTCACGAGTGGTAGTTGTTCTTTTACACAACTCATTCGGCGTATTATTGTTCCTGATTTGCCGTTTACATTATTTTGCCAAAAAAGAACTCCGTCATAAGAAATATGAGGGTGGTGGCCCACAAATTCTGCATGAGTAGTCGGACTTCTTGTGTCTCACAAGTCGGAACAAACAACTACTCATAGGAAATGTGTGGGTCAGGGACACAATTTTTTTATTTTTTTTGGAAATTTTAGGGTTCTAAGTTTGAGCTTGACAATAATTGAGTTTGAGCTAACTATTTCAAACAAGTTGAACTCAATCTTGAGGAGCAAAAATTGAATCGAGGTTGAACACATAGGCTTCCTGCTCAAATATGGATGTTTCATTTGATCAAAGCTAAGTTGGGATGTCGAATAGTTTGCCACACTTTGCTTCATTGCAGCCTCCAAGTGCAACTTTTTTTTCTTAGTCGACCATGATTGGCATAGCTAGCTTTATGTTCTCAAGACTAAGAGGGAGAACACCCTTGTTACAAGGACCACACTAACCTAAACTTGATGTTAAAACGAATTTTCAAAATGATAATGACTTTTGAAATAGCTAGAATTAACGAATCATAATATTCGAGTCATACAATTGGAATCGATCTAGCTAGAGATCATTGAAGCATAAAGATACATTAATTAATCAGGTATCAAATCCACTAATGGACATGGTCACTTGTGTTATTTCTCTCCCTTCAATATCAAAAGCCTATGTTCTTCTGTGATTCTTTCAAGAATTGATAGTGCGTATGAGCTCCAGAGCTTCCCCAGCACGCAATCCAGTGGAGAGTCGAAGCTTTCTGTAATCCTCGAAATTCAAAGGAACATAGAGCCGAGGGTGATCGGAGTCCACCAGTTCTGGTGGCGCCACAACTTCCTCCTCCTTTGGTCCTAACACAAACATGGCAATCGACACTCGTATTGTTGCTTCCTTGCATTGAACCCGGTGCTTCACATTGTAAAACCTTCCGTTGCTCCACACCTTCAACACATGAAAAGATGTACCAAAATTACTTCAAAAATTCTATAACTAATAGTAATACATTGTCTCAAAACAAAATGGGATATTTTTCCGTGAATTTTCTCTCTAACCAAACAAATTAAAGCGAGTAAAACATAGCATACCGTAGCAACGTCTCCAAGATTGACGAGGAGGGTGCCCGGCAAGGGATCAACAACTATGAATTCGCCGGAATTCTTTTCCATGACTTCAAGTCCGCCGACATTTTCATCATCCTGTAATATGGTCAGAAATCCGGAGTCGGTGTGAATTTGTACACCAGATTGTCCTACAGTTTCAGGAGTGAAGTTGTATTTGTTTATTCTGAACTGGCAAGACCATCCCTTGAACAAATCACCACCCAATCCCATACTTTGGCCCAATTTCAATCCAATATCCATTGCTAGCTGGTGTATAGCTCCAGAGTACCTTAACATTGTCTCCCTGTACCAATTCATTTTTCCAATCAGGATCAACCAAATATAGAGTTCTATAACTTAATCTACACGCCCCCATTAAAAATTAAAATAAGCCTAAAATTCAACCACCCCTAAAAATTACCAAATAATAATAATACCAAAATTCAAAACAATTCAAATACGTCTATATCCCTAACAAAAATTCCCAAATAATCAACTATCTAAAGATGCGAGTTCAGGCTGGCCCTAAACCGAAAAGGAGCAAAAATTGGGTCTTTTCGGTCAAAACGGGCTCTACGAAACTGTTCCAAAAAATTATCAACCCTCTGATTGGCCTTCGGCAATCCAAACAGTCTCCAAAATCACTATAAACCCATTCTACATATATAAAAGAAATAGGCGACTAAGAAAGTTTATTTTCACATCAAGTATAGTGAATGGTGATTAGATAGTTAAATTTACTGCATTTGATGTGGTAGATTTGATTGTGGAAAGTACCCAACATGTGGATTGTCCTAAACAGTTCTCATTAGCATTAATAACTCTGTTTTTAGCGTAGAAGTACATATTCCTTTAGTAGATGGCTTATTTGCTCATATGACTTTCTGATTATAAAGCAAACAAGTTTCGATTAGATTCATAGTGAATCATCATATCCTTCACATAAATTCATTACAAAATTCGGAGAATTAATGAGAAATTAAACTTGATGTCCTACACATAAACATATCCACACCCATGAGTCCATGACCCACACACACACATAAATATATATATATATATATAGAGAGAGAGAGAGAGAGAGAGAGAGAGAGAGAGAGAGAACCTTTGTTGAGGAGAGGCGTCTAGCTGAGTACAAAAGGCTTGGACAGCTTCAGTGGAGCCTATGTCATAAAGACCCAAGCCTTCATAGAGAGGATTGATCTTGGTAGGCGCTACGTAGCCGCTGCCGGGGATGGTGTCAGTGTTCCGGCGTTTGATTTCCGGCGGAAGGTCGAGCAGAGATCTGACGACGGACTTCATCTCCGACATCAGAGTGATGGGTATGTGGTGATTAATGATCCTGAAACATCCCCATTTTTCACATGCTTCTATTAGTTTCTGGGATTGTGACGGAAAGTCTTGGAGATCAATCACTGGAACACCCGTGTCCATTCTTTTTGGGTTTTGATTATTTGTTGTGGGAATTGGGATAATAACATATTTTTACATCTCTGACAGATTAATTAATTGTTTAATTAATTGGACAATCGCCTAAGATTTTGCCGGCTTGTCTCCTTTTTGGGTGGATGTACCATCATCACATTTGTCTTCACGTTTGTTTTTGGAATTTATATTGTTGTTTGGAATTTATATTGTTTGTACTTGTCCTTGATGTTTTGTTGCAATAATAATGAGTTAATAGGACACAATTTTGAACGCAATGCTTAGTTGTGAATACATGATTTGTAATTTCATTGTGTGTCTTATGGTGAGGAACAAATAAAGCCTCGTTGTTAACAGGGTCACGCCTTAAATATCTTTCTTCTTATTTCACCCTATGCTGAGGTTTAAATTCTTCTTGTCAGGTGTAAAAAAAAAAAAAAAAAAAAAAAAATTATATATATATATATATATATATATATATATATATATATATAGTTTTGACAAATAAGATTTATTAACTGCGATAATTTAAAGGGTTGATTTGGTAAGATGAAAATATTATACAGTGGAAAAAATGAAGAAAAAAGGAATTCATAGTTCTTAAAATTTCATTTCAAATAATTAAAATAGGCATTAATGGGGTTTATGGGTACCAAATGGTTCTGATATGATAATGTCATAGCAAATTGGAGAAAAGGAATTGCTTTCAAATTCTCTACCATTACCACGTAGGAAGCCAAAGCAAATTCAATCTCAATCACTTTCTCCAAATAAAAAAAAATAAGAAGAGGTTCAATCTCAATCTCGCCAATTGGGTGATGTTACATAACCACTAGTAAATTATGCCCTTTTGCAATAATAATTAGGAGCTAAACATGGCAGCCGAGACATCCAAGTCTAATATAGAAACCATAGGAACTTTGAGGTACAAAATACATTAATAACCAGTTACCAATCTAATTGAAATGCTAATTAGATTTTTTCTATCCATTCAATTTCCAAGTGTATCTGCTAGGTTTTCAAGCATTGGTGGTGCGCAGGAGTTCAAGAGCTTCCCCGTCGCGCATCCCCGTGGAGAGCAGAAGTTTTCTGTAATCTTTGAAAAACAAAGGAGCGTAGAGACGAGGGTGGTCAGAGTCCACCAGTTCCGGTGGTGCTTCGACTCCTCCCTCCTTTGGCCCTAAGACGAACATAGCAATTGACACTCGAATTGTCGCTTCCTTACACTGTACTCTGTGCTTCACATTGCAAAACCTTCCATTGCTCCACACCTTCAACATATTAAAGATGTATCAAAAATTAAATATTTATCCAATCTTACCTTTGGGTAGATAATGCACCTCTTAAACCAATTGGGATAGGATAAACATATGTTCATACCACTAAATCACATGTTTTATTAACAATTTAGTGGAGAAAAATCTTCTTTTTTTTTTTTTTTTTTCTTTTCAGTTAGGCAAAGTACCCCACACATTTTACAAATTACTCACTGCAGAGCTTGAATCCCTCACCTCCGCTTTGAGGGAGGTAAGGTTTTTTACCATTCGGCTACGGCCCATTAGTTTCCCTTATTGATCTTGTTTCTATTATTTTCTCTTCACTCTATTGTTATCAGTAACAAAGTAAAATCGAGCCTCTATTGTTCTTCCTCTAGTGCACGGGTCTCTTTATAGAAGCACCTTGTATGTTGCATTCTTGTTTTACTGCGTTATTTTACATGATATCAAAGCTTCTGAGTTATTTTTATTGAGACCGAGACTGTCTTATTATTGTTTTATTAACAATAAACATTTGAAGTTATACTATTATTTTCTCATATTTCTCAGCATCAAACAAACAAAATGAGAAAACAAGACGACATACCTTCGAAACATCCCCGAGATTGACTAGGAGGGTGCCTGGTAAGGGATAGACCTCTATAAATTCACCAGATATCTTTTCCATAACTTCAAGACCACAAACATCTTCATCTTCCTGTAATATAGTGAGAAATCCAGAATCTGTGTGAATTTGCACACCAGATTGTCCTACAGTCTCAGGGGTAAAGTTGTACTTGTTTATTCTGAACTGACAAGACCATCCCCTCAACAAATCGCTACCCAAACCCATACTTTGCCCCAACTTGCATCCTATATCCATGGCCAACTCATGTATAGCTTTAGCATACCTCAATATTGTCTCCCTGCACTGATTAAATCCAAATCAAAATCCCACAAAAAAAATTACTAAATGAAGATTAATTGTCTATTTTAAAATTTTTTATTTAGGGTGCCCCAAATTGCTTGTCCTCCAAAAGTTAAAGTTAGATAAATGCATCTTTCTATAATACTGTTGAATTTTTTATAAAAATTCAAACTTGATTATATATATAGGATAGGAAATTGCTTGCCTTAGGTTGCATAAGTAGGACTTTTTTCTGATGTTAATATGGACCAATAACAACATAACTTGTGTCAAAAAAATTTAAAAATTTAAACGTGAATCATCCGGATCTTTTCATGGGTCGTCCAAAAAGGAAAAAGATTTTTTCCCACGCGTGTGTGAGACTTGGTAGCGGGCTCTTCCTCTCTTTAACTCACGATTCCTTCTCTCTTCCCACCAAATCCTCATTGATGCCCACCATCTCACCAATTCTGAAACCCTATTATTAATCATCTTTTCCACCAACCAACCTCCATTGCTTGCCATCTCCTCCATTCCCAAATCATAATCTTTTATATCCAATCTTTAGAGATGATTCAAACCACCACATTTGTTGACTGCCATCTCTGTTGCAATCCCATCTCCAGAATGACTCAAGAGACCGGCCAATTAATAAATACACATAACTTTAGTTGCATCCAAAATTTTGAAATTTATCACCACCTGTTATAATTTGAAACCAAATTGATTTCCTTAAACTCCATTGATAATTGGACTTTTACAATTGTAGTTAATTTACCATGTTTGGTCTAATTGTTTAGCTTCTTTGCAATATGAAGGAGTTGTAATAGAAAATCTTAAACGCATAAAGGAAAAAAAAAAAATCCTTTTCAATGATTCATAAAAAGACACAAACAATTTTTATTAATTATTTAAAAAGTTTTTGACACAAGTCATATTTTTATTGGTCTAGATCCGCATTAGAAGAACATTCCTATTCATGGACCAGCATTCTTTTATAGGATAACTTTGTATAAAAATCAGAAAATTTTAAATATGTTATGTTTAGATGATGGAATTTGACACAAAAAAAAAATGGCCCCATTTCCAACCGGGAATGAATCTCTTTCAAATCAATGCCCTTCTGAACTTTTTGCATTCTATATAAATCAATTCTAGTGTTTATATTAGTGAATTTTCCTTTTTTTACATACCTATAAAATTTTAATATCCCCCTAAAAATTAAAAAAAAAATCCTACTATTCCCCCTCCCCTGTCCGTCCATGCCTACATCACACAATTACTGTATACTGTGGAGCTGAAATCCTAATATTAATTGAATAAAGTATACACGAGCTGCACATATATATATATACACACACACACACACACACAAACTATATGTGTGTATAATGTATATATAGAGACTAGAGAAAGAGAGAGGACCTTTGTTGAGGGGAGGCATCTAGCTGAGTACAAAAGTTTTGGACAGCCTCATTGGAGCCTATATCATAAAGACCCAAGGCTTCATAAAGAGGATTGATCTTGGTAGGTGCTACATAGCCACTGCCGGCGACGGCGTCAGTGTTCCGGCGTTTGATTTCTATGGGGAGGTCGAACAGAGATCTGACGACCCTCTTCATCTCCGACATCAAATTGATGGGAATGTTGTGATTGATGATCCTGAAACATCCCCATTCCTCACATGCTTCTATTAGTTTCTGGGATTGTGATGGAAAATCTTGAAGATCAATCACTGGAATACTACTGACTTCCATTTTTTTTTTTTTAATTGTGCTATGAAAATGTGGAAAACAATAGTAAGATGGATTGTTTAATCGCACCTTCACATCACAGCTGACAACTTGTCCCCTCCTCGTGCGGCTTGTGTTCCATCACTGAGTCTTTGGTCCATTATACCGTCTCGCATGACAACAAAATCAAGGAGAGCCGTGATACAAGTGACCACAACGAACGCTCCGTTGTCACACCAAGAAAAATAATTAATGTCACAATAATGGTTAATTTTTCAAAGGTAATGTTACTATATTGGAATTAGATTTTTAAAAAAAACAAATACTCCGTAATGTTTAATGAATAAGATACTATATATTTTTAAGTGTTTGGTTCAATAATAATTACATTAGTCTATTGTCATATTATCGTTTTATTCTAAAACTGGTGCATTTTTTTGCTTGCGAGAAACATTTGAATTCTTGTGACTGTGAACCTATGTTTGTGAACAAGAAAGTTATTCAACCATGTGAGCCCAAATTGTAAAGGTAGTTTCAAGTTGTTGATTCTCATCCGGTCTATTAAAGTTTGAGTTGTTGGAATTTAAAAATAAAGGAATGAAAAAATATTATATTATATTGTATTGTATTGAATATATGAATATTCGCTATATATAGGAAAATATTTGCGATAGGTGAGTAATGATCATAAATGATAACTAGATAAGTGGAGGCATACATATAAACTCGGTAAGTGTAGGTATAGATGTGTAATCATAATTTGTAGGTAAGGGATATTAGAGCTTTTCGATCACTGATAAACAGTTTATAAGTTTATCGTAGTCATCATTGGGGATGGCACCATTAGGCATCAGACCCATTCCCGATAGCGGTCAATCTACAAACTCAAGTTTCCGCACGCCAAGGTCTTCATATGTCCCGTTTAGGGAAGTATCATTGTCTAAGTATTCCTTTGGAAAACTAACAAAATGCCTCGTTTAGAAAAGACTTGCCTGGGATGCCTCGAATAGGGAAACTCAAGGAAACTCAATGAGATGTCTCGTTAGAGATGCTCAACATGTCGGATCACCTCCATCACCTCGTCACCAAACACCTCAAGTGGTAATACCACTATTCCACGCGCAACAGCAATTATCCTACACCTCAACGTGTCAGATTAGCTTCGTCACCGCGCCACCACACGCCCACATGCACCTCAATGTGTCAGATCTTCACAACTCCATCACCGCGTTACTACGCGTCATTAGTGGTTACCGTGCACTTCCCAAAGCACCATCAATGGAATAAATCTTCACAAATTCGTTACCCATACGTTACTTGCCTCAACGTGCCTCAAGTGGCCTTCACGTTTCTACAACCGATTTTATGATCTAATAGTTGGAAAGAGCAAGTTAACTATTTTGCTTCTTATTCTAAGGCGGCAAGACTTTTACTATAGTGGTGTCTGAGTGATGGAATTTGGTATCTCTACTTTTGCTACTAAAGCAATGAAAGAATAGTTTTCCTTTTCAGAGCAAGCATGAGGCTTTGTCATTGGTCTAAATCAGCATGAAAGAAACATCCAATTCAAATGCCACTATCCTCTCTCAGATGTGACCAATTCTTGGCATAGAGGATGAATGGCTGTTCATTTTGTCAATATCAAACCTAAACCAAGGGAAGAAAAGAAGAAAGTATTGGGTACTGTACCCAAATCATCCCGACCCATGATGAATTATTATTTTCTATCATCAAGAAAAATGAAAAGTTTTATTGACCAGATTATAGTACCCGGGGTATTAAATATTGTTCAAATAAAACAGAAGAAATATACTCATATATGGTTTGATATGATTAGTTGGAAACATACCATATCTCATACGAGCTCTGTCTATCATCTTTATCACCTTTATAGATTCCCATTTCTTTTTCCATACCGGCTAGGTTCTAACATTTTTTTATCCTCCATTGATCTAGGATTATGCTATATTATGTTTTCAAAGGAAATATTGGAGACATTTTGTTGATCAAGCATATCTTGGGATGGTTCAGGAATCAGGGCCAATATGTACTTGCTTATGATTTAAAGAATAGTACAAAATTTCCCTAGTCTCGGTGAAATATATCAAGTCATACATTATAACATAATGTTGAGTTTGTGAGACAAATTTCTTAGTAATATACTTAAATATTGTTTACTTCCTCAAAAAGAAAAAGAAATGCAAAATATACATTTGATAAAGAACAGCATTGAACCATACCAGTCATGCAATATTTGCAATACAGAGAGGACGTTATTCGATATGTGGCATTCCATCTTTTATAATTCTCATACAATAACTACTGCCTTATTAACCAGCTCATATATCGAGTCTTGTCATCAACAGAGTTCAAAAGTTATACCATAATGTGATTAGTATTTCAACTTACTTCTGATCTCACATTGCCTGATCATCTTCCATATCAAACAACATCCATATCTCATTCACTCTGTTATCAAATTCGAATGGGGAATTGTATTGCGCGACAGTATAAATCGTAGTGGGATCCGCTGCACGGCTTTTTTCAATGGCAGCTGACCAAGTAGAGCCTTCAAGACTTGCTTCCAACGCGGCAGCTTCTTCTCCAACGTCTGAGTCTTTTACAAATCCATTGAACTGTCTTACTGCTGCATACGTGGTTCCCCATTTTTGGGCGAGGAGACCTTTTGCCAAAGGTGGATTAGGTTGGTTCACTTTTGGGACGTAGAAGCTCACAGCAAATGACGACGCACAGAAGGGCCCATCACTGGGTGAGACTTGGGTGATCACCGGAGCTGTCATCTCAATCTGTTTGGTGTCATAGTTCTTCCCTTGAATGTAATCAAATAGCCTGCGAGGGGGGATGCAAACAAAATTATAATCCAGTTCACAATGACCAAATTCACTAATTGCTATAAACTATGATGTGGGAGATGGAAATTGGAAATAATCAGCCCTAAAAACTTGTAGCTGGGAAATTTGACACACACACACACACACACTGTTTGGAAGTTAAAATTAAGAACTATCATATGGCTGAGCAATAGTCAAGTGAATGTTTAAGTTGTTCACAACCAAACATTAACAATTAAGCCCATTCTTTCAGCTTTTAGTTTACTACAGACAGCCTTTTGAATATGATCTTATAGCTCCTATGGCTTCTCTATATAATTTTGTGAACATCAATATTATTGATGAACGCTTTTGGAAAGTTCACTTCCATCAAATAATCCGACAAATTCGTTCTCTCTGATTACGAATTTATTTGAACTATTAGATTTAAATAATATAAAATTTTGGTTGTTGTTCAGTTGCTAATTGTTTGTTCATTCTCGCATATATTTTGAATTTCAAAAGAAACACTTGTTCTTCCAATAGAAGTAAAAAACAAATTACTTCATGACCAATAATATAGTTGAGAATTAGTCCACTTTCAAAAAGATTTATCACAACAATCTCTAGTAACAAAATCTATCTGCTAGTTGGGGAAAAGAAAAGGAAAGAATGGAATTGATTTAAGAAAAAAATTGATTCTTTTTTTCTCAAAGTTTTGCTCATTCATATTTTTCTTACCTGGCAGATTTCCAAAACAACCAAACATGAGCAAGTGAAATTCTTTAAAGTTTCTTCTACTGTTTTCTAAGTTTTCAATGGAGCCCATCTAAACAATATAATATAGGGTTAAAATCACAAAACCGTAAGTTCCAAGTTATCAAGTTGCTCAAATACTAGTTAACTTGATTGGGAAATGATAAAATTTGTAATTTTAAATTAATTAGGTCAATTTTGTAATTTAAAATTAAAGAATAATTTTGTTATTTAACGTTATTTAATCGCCTTTTATTATTTTGGAATTTTTAAAAATAATTTTCAACATTTTAATTTAACAGGCCAGTTTTACACTTTCACAAATGGAGAATATGGGACAACTTGAAAAAGTTCGGGGTTTTTTAATTATACTAATTTTATGCACAATTTAAGAGGTTTTGTGACTGTAAAAAAGTAAATTAAAAAATAAGAAAGATTCTTTATTAGTACTAAAAACTAAAAAGCAATGATTTGTTGTTACTACTGCTTCTTATCTTTAAATAAGTATTAGGATAACGCAGAGCATGTGTGTATTAACAAATTAACAAATTAAATTGAATCAGAAATTTGAAATAATCAACAACCAAACACTAGAAAAGTAAGAACTTACTGAAAGAAACCAGTTCTGGTGGCATCGACGAAGGAAATGTCTTGAATGGAAGAAGTTGTCATCCACACCGGTGAATTATAGCGGCGAATTTCATAGCCATCGCCGGCATGGATGACGTCATAGCCCGGACACTCGATACGGCTACACGACGGAGGAGATGAGGTGAGTACATTCTTTGAGGTCTCCGGCCAAAAACCCAACTCCGAATTCGATAAAAGACTCAACAGAAATGATAGCTTGAACAAATTGGAAGCTGCCATTTTTAATGAATTGGTGAGCTACAATTGAGTACGTACGTACTTAAGAAGAAGCCGATGAAAAAAAGATTTGTGTATTTTCCAAGGAAAAATCTTCAGTGCCTAAGGTCCACACATTAGGGCTTGAATGCATGGTTGAGTTATGAAGATTCTCAAGTTAAAAACAACCCCATTTGACATTTTGACTGTATGTGATGGCACTATGGTGGTTTCGTCCAAGTTTGGTGGCGTTTGGAAAACTTTGTAGAGGCTCATATAGTCACACGTAGTGATAACATTTATCAGAATTACTTTTAAAAAAATAAAATAAAACATTTATCAGAATCTTTATGGCAATGGCACATGCTAAGCAATGTAGAATTGTCAGTTTTCTATGGCTTTTGTAGTTTAGCGTATAACAATCCATCATCACTCAGAACGAAGCCAAAGCGAGCTCAATCTTGCATTCTAGCCAATCAATGTGGGTAAGTTAATGCCCTTGGCACCATCCATATGTGTTACCAAACAATAACTTCCTCCAACTCTATTTATGTGTCACAATAATATCGAGATCGCAATTTAGACCATCAGTGATCATAATTATTTTACTTGCACAAATAAATTAATTGGTAAGCCTAAATATCAATTTCTCGAAATGTTAAGTGTATCGCAATTGTACCAGGCATAATCGTTAAATTTGTGAGTTTACTACGAAACTCACAAGACTCAACTGTGCTTAGCACGGCTCTAATTTAGATTATGGTTAAAACGAGACTAATAAATTATACCAGTAGGAAAGGGTGCCAATACCAAAATCAACTCATGTGAGAGAATAATTTGTGGGGTTGAATTGAAACCATGGCCTTAAAAAAGGCTTGTTCAACGGGATCAATATAAGCCCACTCTGCCCACCTACACATACAGCTAGCCCAGACGAAAGTGGGGCAGCGTTAATTTTTCTCTTAAAGGAAGAGTTACTAATTTTGGTATTTCGATTTCATTGAATTAGTCCATGATTTTTCGCATTGAATTAGGGAAATAATTGTAATACTATTTCAAGTAACATTAACACATATTTCAAGTCACATTTATTTATTTTAGGATCCTATATTTACTTGATTAAATTATTACTATATTCCCATGGAACATCAAGACAACCCTACATAGTTACATGCATGGTTGATCAATCTAAATCAAAAAATGATCCACAAGTCTTCCAATTGTGGCCTGATTGGCCTCACAAATCTATAAGAATCAAAAGTCAACGACCATAGCTTAATTTACGCTCATCATATTATTAAGAAATATATATATATATATATAGATAGACATATCTCTATAAAATATGTTATAATGCTGTTCAAGTAGTCAATTAATATGAGAATGGCACTACTCTCAAGTATAAATAGCCATATAAATTTTTATTAAACATCTGCAGTTCCAAGTTCCAACAAAGATGAAAGCATATGCTATTGCAATCATACCCTGCGGTTTTGTGATTGCAGGGGTTATAATTTTGATTTGTATCTGCAAAGGAGAAGGGAAGAAGAAAGAAACAAGGCGTTCCAACATTGCGCGAATGAGAGCTACAATTTCATCTGATAAAACTATCGGTGACTGTGGAAGAGGCGACACTACGAAAAGCAATGACAGGGATGATGGTAGTGACATGGCCATTTCGGCTGCTGTTGCTATCGGTGCCACAGCTGCTTTCTTAAGCGTAAGTGGTGATGGAGGTGATGGTGCCGCGGGTGGTTGAAGATGACTTCAGGTCAGACTGCAACTGTCTGCAACACTTCTGGGATCTCTACTTCTCAGTTTAGTTTCTCTAAGTAACAGATCTTTGTATTGGATAATAGATTCTAACTCTAAGCTGTGTTAACTAATATTCATTCAGTTCTTCATGTTGATCAACAATTGTGTTCTCTCTCTCATTATATATGCTGTTGCTAAAACCACTGTACCTTCTGAAGGACATTTCAGGAGGAAGAACATCACAAATGCTCAATTTATTTTCCTTTCTGATGGGACATTTTCAGTTTCTTTTCAAGACTAAAATTTAAGTCAAATTTCTAATTTAAGCAAATTAACTCTAGTTGCTTCCATTTTTTAAGTTGGAGGTAGAGTTCTGTACTTAACAAGGATGAGAGGCGCCATCTACGAACTTCCATCTTCAAATTCTTCTGTAACGCTTGATTTCCTCTCTCAATTCTTCTCTCTCCATCTGAAGTCATTCCCTATACATGCAGACATGTAAAGGAAAAAAAAAGAAAATCAATCTGATTCCTAATGTCCTTATGTTTCAGAATAAATTCGCAATTGTTCATGGAAGTGTTGAGTGTTTCCTTGTTGCATGTTGATGGGATGAACAGATGTAATCTTCAAACTGTACATCTAAGATTATCAAAAAACATATCTAAATAATGGTATAAACTATCAAAGAACAAACATGTCAAAACAATTAAACCATACCCAACCGCATCACAATTGCCCTAGAGAAATTTTGAGAACATATGTTGAAGGGTGAAAATCCAATAAAACAAGGGCTCCATTCTGTTCACCTGAGATTTCCATCAGCAGAGCCTCTACAAGAAAATAGGTCTTTAGTGACGGTCAAATCCGTCACTAAAAGCCCTTAAGACTTGTCTATAAAAAATTGATCTTTAGTGATGGTAGTTGCTGTCCCAAATAACTCATCACTAAAAGTTATTAAGGACAGAATGTACCGTCACAATATTTACCCCGTAATAACTTTAGTTTTTTTTATTTTTTTATCCCATTTGTGACAACTAAAAACCGTCCCTGTTACCTTCTTTTTTTTTCTTTTTCTTTTTTTGGACCCCTACTATATTTGTATGTTTTTATTTTTTTTCTTCTCAGATTCTTTATAAGAAAAACTCTTAAATATGAAAATTCAAAGCATTTATTTATATGACTGGAAATAACTACATACTAACCCACAAAATATTATACCACATGCAGCATAGATAAATTGATATCAAAAGCATATGACAAGTAGAATATAAAAATAAACTTTAAACCTCTTCCAACATGTTCAAAAATCAGAGCATCATTTTAAACTAAATACAAAGACATTCAGTTGTACATTATTTTCCTCAACAATTTCTGCTCTTTTACTAAAAGCCTCTTCATAAGATGAGGATGCACATTGATGGCTTGGAATCACGAAACCATGTCCAAACCCACGGGGATATCCTTTCCTGATAGTTGGTTTTGCACTATCTCAAAATCATTTCTCACTGGACTGGTACTACCAGAATTTTGAGAAATCTGAGAAGACTTTTCCATCATTTCATCCTGCAATTGACATATAAGTCTTAGAATTGAGAATTGAGAATTGAGATTTGAGAATTGAGATAAAATTAAGGAGAAAAAGACTTGTACCAAAAAAATGGTAAAGGCTAAACTAATCACATCAAGGATTATCATACCCACCACAACTTAATGTTCTTAGTACAATTTTCATTGAAGGAGAGAGAGACAATAAACAAAAGTCTTGTAACTAATCATTCAAAATATAACAAGTTCAATACAAATTCATAGTTTCCAGCAACATAACAACACTACATGTCATCTATCTATAGACATGATACACAAATAATCAAAGTTCACTGAATAGCAGAGAAAACGCATTGGCACATATTAGTATACCTATTTAGATGCTGTTTTTTTTCATAAGAACAAAAATTATCAATTCTCACTTTATCACCATCAATCAAAACTCACTTTATTTTTTTTTTCTTTTCCAAGTCCCACCATTACAATAATATCATCCCTTTATCATAATAGAAATACACCCAACATCAGTAATCATGGTGGGCATTACTTTCTTATATTTGGTATGCATTACTCCTAAAAGAAAAATCTTTAGGCATTTATTTCATTTATTGAGAATTGAGAAGTCATTATTAAAAAGAAAAAAGAAAAAGAAAAAAATGCAAAAGAAGAAAGTTGAGAGCCCATGTTCAGCTGACTAACCAAAGAAAGCAATCAAATCCCATACTAGAATTGCAACCTCAAAGTCTAATATGACCAGACATTAGTATCAGTCCATTATGTACAATGTTTATTTCTTAAGAGCTCCATCAAAACTTACCATGCGCACACTGAAATTTCAGTGTGTGTTAAACGTGAAATTCAGCAGAGTTAGTTATAAGCTTACTCAAATTTGACCTGGTTACAAGCTCAACTTAGTCTTAACTAGCAATTCTCAATATTGGTTTGTGCAACTCTATTCAAGCTTCAGTTTCTTTGTCTAACCAAATTTTGATTATGAGAAATGATAAATTCGGATTCCTAATCTAACTTCAACACACAAACACCTGTTGCAAAAATTAGCAGAAAAAGAGATAAGAATACAAACAAGAACACAAGTATTTAAGTAATTCAGCCAAAACATGGATCACGTCTACAGAGTCGGGCATTTCACTATGATGAAGTGCAAAATGAAATTACAGAGTTGATAATAAGTAACCACTGCCCCGGTATACTCCTATAGAATTATGGCTACATAACAAGTGTGAAAAATACAATAATATCCCCCAAAAAATTCAAGTCAGCGCATAAAGTTGGGCTAAGGTATACAATACTCCACACTTTCTGTCAAAGCAAACACACACACACACACACAAAACAGCCTTATTTTGAAACATAAAATGTGGCTGATAAAAAGAGCATTTATCGAAGATTAAACACACACACAAGGCAAAGGTGTCATATACAAAAAAAAGTTTCTCTTGGATGTGTTGCAGCTGAAAGAAATTAAAGCTTGTATAAATTAATTAATTAAATAACTTAAACAGTGGCGTTTTGGAGACGAAATTGTTTCTTAACTAGCTTACTTTGTTTTCATTTTTTCTTTCCTTCCAACCACTTTATAAACATAACAGGACAACTAAAATAAAAACACGAAGAACAGAGACTTACATGACAAATCAGAGAACATTATTTCAGAAACTATGCAGTTGGGTGAGCATTGAAACAAGTTCATCGCTGGATGGTCAATCCGCAGGCAAATCAGATAGGCATACGACAGCAATTCTCACTGCCATCAGCATCTCATCTTCTCCTACTTCTTCCCCAGAGATACTTCTATCTAATGCTTCTCGGGCCTCCCCCTCTTGTTGCAGACGCCGAAGCCACCGTCCCAAACTTCCCCCAGTGACTGCTCCCTCAAAGAATGGATCCATTGGGTCTCTACCAGTTAACAGAACACCCAATATAACAACAAAGTTGAAGCTGTCACTCTTATCAGTATACCTATTGTGATCAAACAAGTAATCAATTACAATAAGACCATCAACAAAAACATTTTAAGTTTAAAAGTTACATTATTAAAGATACAAAGATAAACATCGGTATATGCCACATTATTAAAGAAACAAATTAAGATACGCATGGTATACACAATTACAAGCTAATGCTTACAAGTTACAACCCCTTCCAAAAAACAGCTGCTCATTAATTTACACAAGTAAAATCAGTATAAACAAAATTTGGAGAAAACATAATTGTCTTTCTGGCAAGCTTCAATTAACAAGAAGAAACTTTCACAACTATTAGTGATACGCACAAATGAATCTTCATATTCACTTTCAATTGATTGCTAATCAGCCATCAAGCAAACACCAAATATTCTTAATGAAGCACCTATACAAAACCAAATATTTTGATGAAGTACGTCGATCAAACAATCAGCAAGTTCTTTATTTAATTGATTAAAATTAGTTTCGTTGGCATATATGTCCACTTCAAAGGTCACCTTTATAATGGATAATTAATGTAAGTTAAAGGAGCATATATAATGTTAAATATATACTTTTGTCCCTTTACTGGAGATAGGGAATTCATGGCAATGTACTAAAGCAATGACATTCTTACTATAGTTCATTAAAAGGAGGAAATCATACTCTAGAAACATGAACAATACGAAAGGACTAGGTATGACCTTGAATATCAATGTTACAAAATGAATTGTATTCAATGCTTAGGAAATGCCAAGAAATTTCTAGAAGAATACGAAAACCATGTAAAAAGACTCACAGATTTTCATATAAATATATGACCAGTAGACTTTATATGAGAAACTTAGCAGTTTAAAATATGAATCTACAATTTTCAACCAAGAAAACAATTCGATCAGTACAATTTCCAATTTAATTACAACTTCATCACAAATTAAAAGATTAAGTTCGCAATAAACAAGACCCACAACTCGGTAATATTGAGAGCAAACAGATTATTACTAGAAAAACAAATATGAATGATGCACATCTCAAAAACTTGAAGGTCAATTCATCCTCAACAGCCCCAAAAACAAAAACCCACCAACACAAGATACAATTTTCAGCTAAGCCTCACAGACTAGTCATAGTATCTGTTAGAATAGTTATATGTAAATAGGTATTTATGTTGGGATCATATTGTAATTTGACATAGGATTTGTGGCCATTATGTAAATAGGCCTTTCTTGTATTGTATTTATATATGCTGTACTATGTGTAAGGGTTTGATATATATATGAAAAATGAGAAAAACAGTGAGGGCTGTGCCTCTTTCATCCTCTCTCTCTCTCACACAGCCATCCTCTCTCTCTCTCTCTAATCTATAAAATTGACATGGTATCAAAGCAGAGATCCGGCTATTGAAGTCGCTACCGCGGTGCTAGGGTGTGTACTAGCTCGCGAAGGGATCGCTATTCATCGTCGATCCGGCCTCTGTTGGACAACTTCGCCGTTCGCTGTTCGTTGACGCCGGTGGCTGTCGTGAGTGTGGTTCCTTACTGCAGTCGAGATTTGTGGTTGGGGCTTCACCTTGTGTTGGTGAGGATCTTGTCGTTGACGGCAGCAGGTTTTAGCTCTCGTCGGCGTTGATTGAGAAGGAGAAGGGTAGTGTTTGGTTGCAGGCACAAGGCTATCCCGATCCAGGTTCACCTAAACCTGTTTTTCAGATCCGGTCCAGATCTGACCAGTTGTCAGATCCGACCCAGATCCAGTGACCCGTTTTCAGATCCGACCTAGACCCGACGACCTGTTTTAGATCCGATCCAGATCCGACCCGTGTTCATATTCCGACTCGTTTTCAAATCCGGGTCTGGTTCGACCCTTTCTTCCTGTTCCGGCAGTTTCTTCTATTTTTTCTTCTGTTCCTCTCGGGACAGATTCGGCAGCAGTGACTTCAACTTGGGCCAGATAAGTTTTTTTTCTTCTCTGGTCAGTTTACATATACATTTGAGACATGGAGTTGGACTCTTCAACTGTTTCTTCTGAGTCTACTGAAAATAAAACTCCTGCAACACATGTTGATCATGTCGGGCTGCAAATTACAACTATGAAATTGAGTAATTCAAATTACTTACTTTGGGCTCAAGCAGTGAAGACATATTTAGGCGCCCGACGAAAGCTGAAGTTTATTACACAAGCTCCTCCACCTCAAACATCCACAACATATGATGATTGGGAAGTTGATAACTATATGGTTATGTCCTGGTTGTGGAATAGTAGGGAACCTACTATTGCATCTACTTTTATGTTTCTCACCACTGCAAAGGGAATATGGGATGCAGCTTGCAGTTAAAGAAACCTACATCTCTCGCATATACTGCCTATATGAGAAGATGTTCCATTCTCGTCAATCTGATCCCTCTACTCAAGGCATCAGTGAGTATTACAGTACTTTCAAAAACTTGCTAGATGAGGTGAATCAGTACCATCCCTTAACTACTGATCTTGACGTTCTCAAGAGACAACGTGAGGAATTTTCAGTTTCTATTTTTCTTACTGGTTTGCACCCTAGCCTTCAAAATATTCGGGATCACATCCTTGCTGGTGATGGAGGACTCCCATCTCTGGGTAACATTTATGCCAGATTGCTTCGTGTTTCAGAACAATCACATGGGACGTCCATAGTGAAAGAAAATTCAGCTATGATGGTTCATTCTATCTCTCCACAGTCCTCTAAAGGCCGTGATGCTCCCAATAACAACAGAGGGTATGGAGGAACTTCGAGTGGTTCTCGTGGTGGTGGTGGTGGCCGTGATAGAGGTCGCAGTCGCCGTGGTCGTGGACGTACTAATACTCGCTACTGCAGCCACTATAGGGGTACTAACCACTCTGTTGAGCATTGTTGGGCTCTCCATAGGAAACCAGCATGGGCAAATCAAGTAGTGGCTTCTTCTGATAGTGCTGGGTCTCATCCCCCTCCTGACCACCACCACCCATCTGCTCCAAACTCTGTATTGCCATCATCTACACCTACTAGTGACAGTGTGATACTCTCCCGAGCTGAGTTCAGTGCCTTGGTTAACCGGACACATCCCCACTCTACTGATATGGTTAACTTTGCGCAATCAGGTAATATCGCATGCTTGTCCGATTTACAGACTTCAGCCTCCCCTTGGGTTATCGACTCTGGGGCGTCTACCCATCTCACAGGTGATGAATCTCTATTTTCTACCTTTTAGAAGTCTCGTTTCCCCTCTTTTGTTACTTTGGCTGATGGTAGAACATGTTCCATAATTGGCCAGGGAACAATCAAACTAACCCCATCCATTTCTTTATCTTCTGTGCAATTGGTCCCAAAATTTCCTTTTAATTTATTATCTGTCAATAAACTAACTCAGGCACTCAATTGTTTTGTCACATTTTATCTTTCGTTTTATGTCTTTCAGGACCTCAACACGAAGAAGACGATTGGTGGGGCACTAACAAAAATGGCTTATACTATCTGGATTGCACACCTTCCACTAGTGTTGTTGCTTTACATTCCCTGATGTCTGTATACCAGTGGCATTATCGGTTAGGTCATCCCTCGTTGCGATACTTGAAGTCTGTCTTACCTTTTCTTGAGTCGGTGTCTACTTTAAATTGTGAGTCGTGTCACTGGGGGAAGCACCATAGAGTGTCTTTTCCTCCTCGTATTGTTAATCGTCGGTCTTCTTTATTTGAATTGGTGCATACGGACATTTGGGGTCCTACTCGTCAACCTAGTCAATCAGGTTTTTCTTATTTTGTTACCTTTGTTGATGACTATTCAAGGATGACTTGGTTGTTTTTAATAAAAGACCGTTCTACCTTTTGTGACTCTCGTGGCATCTTGCACCAAACTTCTTATTCTTATACTCCCCAACAAAATGGTGTAGCCGAACGGAAAAATAGGCATTTAATTGAAATAGCTCAGACATTGATGATTCTTATGCATCTTCCAAAGGCATTTTGGGGAGATGTTGTTTTAACTGCTTCTTATTTAATTAATCGTATGCCATCTTGTGTTCTTAATTGGAAATGTCCTTATTCCCTTGTTTTCCCTACCCGGCCGTTATTTGCATTACCGCCTCGTGTTTTTGGGTGTGTGTGCTTTGCTCACGTATTACGCCCTGGCACTGATAAATTGTCTCCTCGTGCCATTAAGTGTGTCTTTATTGGGTACTCTCGGACTCAAAAGGGTTATAAATGTTGGGATCCTAGCACTCGTCGTGTTTTTGTGTGCATGGACGTTCCTTCTTTGAGGACACTCCTTATTTTTCTTCACCTGGTTCGTCCTTAGATACCGAGTTGTTGCTTCCGTTGCCTGTTGTGTCACCCTCATCTGCTGATGTTCCACCACCTCAAGTGCCATCGCCACCTCAAGTGCCACCGCCACTTCAAGTGTATACTCGACGATCAAAGGCAGCACCCCCCCAATTGTCTACTTCTATTGAGGCTCCTGTTGCTACTGATGATCTTCCTATTGCCTTACGCAAAGGTATTCGATCTTGTGTTACCGCACATCCTATTTCTAACTTTGTCTCATATAATCTTGTTTCACCCACTTTCTCTTGTTTTTTATCCACACTGTCTGTTACACTTGTTCCTAAGACTTTGCAGGATGCTCTTTCTCATCCTGGTTGGCGAAAAGCCATGATCGATGAAATGGATGCTCTTCATCATAATGGGACATGGGATCTTGTTCCCTTACCTCCTGGTTCCAAACCGGTTGATTGTAAGTGGGTCTACATTGTCAAATATTTCCATGATGGTTCTATTGAGCGTTTGAAAGCTCGTCTTGTTGCAAAGGGGTACACCCAGACTTATGGTGTTGATTATGATGAAACTTTTTCCCTTGTTGCAAAGATCTCTTCTATACGGGTCCTTATTTCCATTGCTGCCAATCGTAACTGGTCGTTGTTTCAATTAGATGTGAAAAATGCTTTCTTACATGGCGACTTAGTTGAAGAGGTTTATATGGAGGAACCACCTGGGTTTGTTGCTCAGGGGGAGTATCGTCATACCGTTTGTCGCCTTCGGAAGGCCTTGTATGGATTGAAGCAATCTCCAAGGGCTTGGTTTGGAAAGTTCTCTGCGGCAGCATTAGCATTTGGTCTTAAGAGATGTCAGACCGACCATTCGGTGTTTCACCAGCACACTAAAGCTGGTTTCATTTTCCTTGTGGTATATGTGGATGACATTGTGATCACAGGTGATGATTCTGAAGGTATTGTTAAATTGAAGTTGTTTCTACAAAATCAATTTCACACTAAAGACCTGGGTCAACTCAGATATTTCTTGGGTATTGAAGTTGCTAGATCCAAGAAAGGTATAAGTTTATCTCAAAGGAAATATGTGTTGGATTTATTAGAAGAAACAGGTATGTTGGGTGGTCGTCCTATTGATACTCCTATGGATCCAAATACAAAACTCTTGTCAGATGAGGGTGATCTATTTGATGATCCTGGCAGATATCGACGGCTTGTTGGGAAATTAATTTATCTCACTATCACTCGACCGGATATCTCATATGCAGTTAGTGTTGTAAGTCAATTCATGGGATCTCCTAGGATGTCACATTGGAATGCAGTTCTTCGGATTATCAGATACCTCAAGCAAGCTCCTGGCTTTGGGTTGCTATATAAACCAAATGGACATCTTAGGGTAGAAGGTTTCACTGATGCTGACTGGGCTGGTTCTCCCTCAAATAGGAGATCTACTACAGGCTACTGCACATTTGTTGGTGGAAATCTTGTTACATAGACAAGTAAAAAGCAAACAGTGGTAGCACGGTCTAGCGCTGAAGCAAAGTACAGGGCGATGGCTCATACCTCTAGTGACTTAATGTGGATACAACACTTTCTTGAGGAACTTGAGTTAATAGTCAAGGCTCCTATTCCATTGTTCTGTGATAACCAAGCAGCTGTTCATATTGCATCCAATCTAGTATTTCATGAAAGAACCAAGCATATTGAAGTTGACTGTCACTTCACCCGCGAAAAAATATTGAGCGGGAACATCTCTACGCCATTTGTGAAGTCTGAAGATCAATTAGCTGATATGTTTACTAAGGCTCTTAGTCATAATCGGTTAAAAGCAATTTGTTCCAAGCTGGGATTATATGATATATATTCTACAGCTTGAGGGGGAGTGTTAGAATAGTTATATGTAAATAGGTATTTATGTTGGGATCATATTGTAATTAGACATAGGATTTGTGGCCATTATGTAAATAGGCCTTTCTTGTATTGTATATATATATGATGTACTATGTGTAAGGGTTTGATATATATATGAAAAATGAGAAAAACAGTGAGGGCTGCGCCTCTTTCATCCTCTCTCTCTCTCTCTCAGCCATCCTCCCTCTCTCTCTCTAATCTATAAAATTGACAGTATCTATTATCAAGTCTCAAATTGCGACAAAGTTGATAATTTGCTGGTATTAAATGCAATAGGACTAATCTCTCCTATGAGTTTAGGAACAAAATTAAAAATTTCCTAAAACTCACTTATTATAACAACATACGATGAAGCCAAATTTGCAATCCATCTACCAAATATAGCGAGTTAAAAAAGAGAGTACATAAAGTGTTGATAACAAAAAAATAAAAATGACATGACAGAGACTTGAAGATATTAAAACAAATAAAAATAAAAATGACAGGACAGCAAAAATAAAAATAAAAACTAAAGGAAATAAAAGGAGGAAATAAAGAGGGAGAAACGAACAGTATTGTAGAGAAAAGAAATTAAAACAAAATAAAAAATAAGAAGAATGAAAAGGAGAGATGAGAGTTCAGAGAAGAAACGAAAAGATGGGTGAGATGGAAGTCCCTGACTTCCCTCAATGATTCAGATGATAAGAACCTGATTCTGTAATTTCTCACTTCAATTGTTGGGCCTTTAGGCAATTTTGAAACCCTGAAAACATTGTAATCATATTTTACATCAAAATTAACCACCGAAAGATAAAAAGATTAAAAAAAAATAAAACATAGGAAAGAAATAATAGATGGATGAGATCCAAGAGTCAACCCAAAATGAGATTGAAGAAGGATTCAATTAGTACCATGGAGATGTCGAACCCAATCAAACATGCATTCTTTGAAACAAAGCCCTAGCAATTGAAAATTCTTTGAAGGAACAGATATGGACGAAGAATGATGAAATGGGTAATTGGGTTTATACAATTTTTATATCAAATGACGTAGTTTAAACACACATTTAATGTTTTGCAAAAAAGTATCCATGGCCCTGACACCGCCACATGTATCTTCCAGCCAAACAACGCAAAATACAAAATTCTAGCGCTAAATTTTGCTGCTGAAAATTTCAGCGGCCATATTTTCAGGGGTTTGGTGACGGTATTGGACATACCGTCCCTAATGGCTAGTATTAGTGACAGTAGAATTTTACTGTCCCCAATAATACTACTTTTAGGGACAGTTTTTTAGTGTGTCACTAAAAAACTGCCACTAATGACCTGTTTTCTTGTAGTGACATCAAGAATAGACACTTACAGCAGCGTCTATGTGCAAGCTCTGAAATCACATCTTCACTAAAAAGCATCTTGTATTTCTGTCTGTTTGTGTAAAGTATCAAAGGATCCAGTCAACATCCATAAAGACCGAAGGGATGGATAGAGGAAGACAGACTGGGTTGAGAGACTGGAGCCAAAAGAGTGGAAGAGTCCGGGCAAGAGATGCCATGTCTCAAGTGCTCAGGTTTACATGGATAAAACTTTTTACAATTGGCCTTGTAAATGTGTAGGATGTCGAGCAAAAATAAGAACTCAAGAAACCACCCACTTCCCAAGGAATGACGATACTTGCCACTTATGTGAGCATCAGATTTTAAGAAGTATGACAACCTGTAGAACTTTAAAGGTGCCAAAAATATTCTCTTTGCACGAAAGTCCTCAAGGATGCCCACGGGTAAGTTATGATGAAACATCACAAGCTACTGCTTGACTTCACACCAAAAACAAGAGATAAGGTTTCAGAAGTGGGAGTCAGATGCTGATGTCTCGAACATCACTTCAAGATTGAAGGTTTATGCCCCTTCTATTCTGTACTCCATTCACCTCAATGTTCACAAGGAGCTCTGCTCAGACACCCTCAAAAACCAGCTTTCCAAATAGTTCCATCAAAGCATGAACAACTAGTTTTAATTCAACCTGCCATAGTCTAGGAGTAGTTGCAATGTGTGTTTCTTCTTTAAAGGTATACAATCTTCATTATCCTATTTGCATCAGTCTTCTTCCAGTTCTCAGTTATCAGAAGATATAGCCTCCAAAGAAATTTTGATTTCAGACAAAAGGCCCAAAACCTGAAGATCAGCTCTCCTTAGTTCAGCCTAAGAACAGGGAAACCTAGACAACCTACTACAGGAGAGCTTCCATTGATTTCTTATACTTCATTTACAGATTGGAAAGCCATGATAACAATCATTTTTGGTGACAGCGCATTTGTCTCATTTCATCCATGATTATCCATAATGTACTTTTAATCTCCTCAAAGTTAATATGAGACTCATCTCCTGCAAGGAACAAATTAACCTGGTCCTTCACCATAATCCAACTACAACCTGGTGCCTTTCTTATCCCTTTTGATTTCTTGGTTACTCTCACTCGTTCCTCATCTTTCCTCTTTCCTGCAACTGAATATATGTTGGACAAGACCACATAAGCAGTTGCATTATTGGGCTCCAACTCAAAAAGGCGTTCAGCCGCAAGCTTTGCAAGATCAAGACGTAAATGGGTACTGCTTGCACCAAGTAGAGCTCCCCAAACCCCAGAATGGGGCTTAATTGGCATTGATTTGATCAAATTAATAGCTTCATCCAACAACCCAGCTCGGCCAAGGAGATCCACCATACAAGCATAGTGATCTGGCCCCGGTTCAGTCTCATATGAGGATTTCATAGATTTGAAGTAGTGCCATCCTTCATCTACTAGCCCCACATGGGTACACGCGGAAAGGACACCGAGGAAGGTAATTTGGTTAGGTTCCTGGCCTTTGTTCTGCATCTCATTAAATAACTTAAGTGCTTCTTTCCCAAGCCCATTTTGTGCAAACCCAGTTATCATCGAGTTAAAAGATATAACATTTGGGGCACTAACATTTATGAAGACCTTGTAAGCATCATCAACATTTCCGCATTTAGAATACATTGCAATCAGTGAATTTTGAATGGACAAATCAAATTCAGTATCCATTTTTACAACATGAGCATGGAGTTGCAGCCCTTGGTTTAATGTTGCCATACTTGCTGAAGCACTGAGCACACTGCTTAACGTAAGAGGATTCGGCCTGATTGCCGTCTGAAGCATCTGAATGAACCAGCGGATAGCCTCCTCATATTCTTCGTTATTCACAAAGCCTGAAATAACAGCGGTCCAAGCAATATCATCTTTCTCAGTCATGCTTTTAAACAACTCAACGGACTTTCCTGTCCAACCTTTGTTTGAGAATCCGGTAATCATGGTTGTCCAAGAAACTACATCTTTTTCCGGCATCTTGTTAAAAAGTTCGTAAGCTTCTTCAATTTCACCAGCTTGAACATAACCAGCAATTATGGAATTCCAAGAAACCACATCTTTTCTGCTCATCATATGAAAAATTCTAATAGCTGCATCTATACAATCAAACCTAGAATACATGTTCATCATAGAATTCCCTAAGAAGACATCAAAGTTGAATCCCACAGGCAAAATCATCCCATGCATCTGAATTCCTTCTCGATATCTACCAAGGTTTCCACATGCTTCAAAAATTATGGTTAGTGTAGTAGAATTAATTCTTACAATACCTTCACGTCTCATTTGCAAGAATAATCCAAACCCATCTTCAAAACACCCTATCTTCAGATATCCATTAATCATCGCGGTCCAAGAAACCACATTTCGTTCCGGCATCCTATCAAACAATTCTTTTGCTTCCCCAATTCTTCCCGCTTTGCAATACCCATCAACCATTGAGCTCCAAGAAACCACATCTTTCTGCACCATATTATCAAAAACCTGAACTGCCTTTTCTAATTTACCCTTCTTCAAATACCCAGAAATCAATGCATTCGAACAAACAGGTTCACGCCAAATTACAGGCGTCTCCGCATACAATTCCTCAGCCCTGTTCAACATCCCTGCCTGAACAAAACCTGTGATCATTGCAGCATAAGAAACCGCATTTCTATCAGGCATCCGCTGAAACAATTCACTAGCACCATCAATCCCAGGGATGTTGCGTATATAAGCCGTGATCATCGCATTCCACGACGCAACACTTCTTTCGGGCATTTCGTTGAACACGTTTCGAGCTTTTTTGATTTGTCCATTCTCAGCATACGCAGTAAGCATTGCTGTCCAAGAGATGATATTTTTGTTGGGCATGCGATTGAAAATCGCCTCGGCTTCAATGATATTACCATTTCTTCCATTTTTCGATATCTGGGAGTTGCAATAAACTTGAAATTTACTGGATGTGATAATGGGTTTTGCGAGGCTTTGAGTGGTGGAAGTTGAATAAAGGGTCAGAAATAGTGGTTTGATACAAGAGCGGCGTATATAGACATGAATGTAAGTTCGTATCGCTAGCATGATTTACAGCAGTGTGCAGGGCCGGCCCTGAGATTCCAAATATTTAGAGAGGCCCTAGTTGAACATTCAAATGTGAGGCCCTTGAGTTTCACACACGCAAAAAAAAAATTATAAGAGTGCGAAATTTTAACACGGTGTTTTCAAATTCTATAGCTAATATAATTGTGCGTCTGTGCATTGTGCATAAGACAACTAACTAATAACCATAAATTTATCACCACCAACATATAATTGTGCGCCTGTACAGTGTGCATAAGACAACACTAATAAGTATAAATCTATCACAACCAATAAATAATTGTGCGTCTGTGCAGTGTGCTTAAGACAACTAACTAATAACTATAAATTTTTATTACCACCAATAAATAATTGTGCGCCTATGCAGTTTGCATAAGACAACTAACTAATAACTATAAATCTATCATTACCAATAAATAATTGTGCGCATGTGCAGTGTGCATAAGATAGCTAACTAATAACAATATATTTATCAATTAAAGAGTGCGAAATTTTCACAGGCACAAAATAAAAAATGAAGAGAACAATTTACTAGAGAACAGAAAACTGCAGCTTCTTTTACATTCATTGTTTATATAGCTACTAAAATTTGATGATGACAGATGACAAAAATATGTGGAGATGAGGTGACTATATATATATAGGAGGCTGAACTTGTAGTACTGAAGAAGTAGTGGGACTTTTAGGTTATATGTGGCATCCACTATCATATATAGTTTTGTCTTTCACTCTTTATATTAACTATACTACACTTTGTGTGTGTTTTTTTTGGGAGCCAATTACCCGCAGTAATTGATTGATCATTGCTACAGAAGACCTGTGCAAATTAATAGAAAAAACCATTAACTTTTGTTTTGTTAAAGCCTGCTCTTGATTTCCATGTGTTTGTACATTCTGATGGCAAGTGCTTTGACAGTATTATTAACTGAAATTCTTGCTGAGCCAATTTCAAACAACATCTGTGGTATGTAGCTTCATATAAAAATAAAATAAAAATAAAAAACCTTAGGGATCCTTAATTTTCGTGCGACTGAATGTGAAAATGCAAAAAATTATGAGGAAAAGGGGTATGGTTGTTGCTGTTGTGAGATTGGAGTGGAATTAGGGAGAGGAAAAAAAAAAAAAGTACCTGCCATAGATTATGGACTCCATCGCCATGAAAGGCACATGTAGAAAGGCACACATTTATTAAAATACTAACAAAACCATAATATATTCATTCAGCTTTTGATAGCCATCACACACAGTACAAACACACACAAAAAAGCCTAGTTTGGAAGCTACTTTTCAGTATTGGAACAAAGGTAAAGGCCCGAATCAAACGAACCAAAGTTAGAACAAATGAAATGATGAGATGAACGAAAGAAAGAAACATATATAAAAGATCGATTCATGCAAAAGGAGAGAGAAGAGAGAAAGAGGATGAACATACCTTGTCACCTGGGGCGATAGCGGAGGCTGCACTCTGCGGAGTGTCGAAGCAGATTGTGTCGTCTGAAACTTGCCCTAACTTTTTTTTTTTTTTTTTGTTCTTTTCCATTCCCTTTGAGGCCTCTAAAATTTGAGCCAAGCCAACCAAGACTTGTCCTATTACATTCCCTATGGGCCTCAAAATTTTGAATGGCCGTCCTTGGCAGTGTGAAGTGTCCATAGCAAAGGAGAGTGAGAGTAGTTCTTTCTGTTCCAAATGCCACAATGAAATTAACGAGTGTTTTGCGCTCTTTCATAGTAAAGTACTAAAATTGAAACACTTCCACAAAGAAATGGGTAAATTACTGTTATATCCTCCTCGAATTAAGTAAAATTACCTAGACCTCCCCTATTAATAATTTACTTTCCCATCTTATATTCTTTATGTTATTTCAAGCTGATATAAGGGAATTGTTGCGGCAATTTTTTTTTTTTTTTAAACACGTTTACATCTTTTTTTTATTTTTTGGTCATATGTAATGTGTTGAAAAATAAATGTAACTTGTTGAAAAGTATACAACACAACTACAAACAGGGGGTTTACATCAAGAGGATCGAACAAGCATTTGCTTTAACTTTCGGAGGGAAAAAAATGAAAAATTAAGAGATTGAGAATTCAAACCTAGTAGTTTGGGTGGGAGGTTGGCCTTTTTTGCTCCATGAATTATATGAGTTACTTGTAGGAGGACTTGTTCGAATAATTAATAATCTCCGCAAAGTAGTTGAGTTGACACTAAGGGCCTGTTTGGGAAGTGTTCCCATGTGTGATGTAATGCTCCAGGCCAGTAGCCCATTTTGAGAACAAAACTTGTTTGGGCCGGCTTGTTTTGTTTTCAACAATACCAAAACACTTTCAAAATATGGGCCAAAACTTGGAACAAAAAAAAGATGTTTTGGCTTGTTCCACAACCTAACCGGCCCAATTTGCACGGTAGCGGGGGCAACATGTTTTACATTGTAGCGGGACAACAAATTTTTTTAGGGCAAATCATTTCAACCTCCCAATCGCCTCCATCTCTATTCTCGTTCTCAAGTCTGAACTCCCCTCCCAATCGCCTCCATCTCTATTCTCATTCTCAACTCTAAACTTGCCCTAATCGCCTCCCAATCGTCTCTATCTCTATTCTCGTTCTCAAGTCTGAACTTGCCTCAATCGCCTCCCAATCGTTTCCATCTCTATTTCAGCTTACATTTCAAAACCCATATGGGCATATCATTTCAGATTGTTCAAAAAATCAAAACCCATATCATTTGAACTTGCCCTCTCTCTCTCTCTGCAATTGCAAATTACAAAATATACAAGAATCAGAAGTTCAAAACCCATATATTTCAGTTTATGTATCTGTCTGCAAGAATCAAAAGTTTAAAACCTATTACCTATATCAAAACCCTCATATCGGCATATCATTTCAGATTGTTCAAAAAATCAAAACCCATATCTTTCAGTTTCCATCGGCCGCTATGCTAGTTATGGTTTGCCGTTTGCAACCTTCAGCTGTTGTCTCTCAACTCTCAAGCTTGCCCCCTCTCTTTCTCTGCAACTGCTAACTTGTGTGTATGGGTTTTGTTTTAATTTTTTTTTTTTTTTTTTTTTTTCTAAATCAACTAATCAAGCTCTATAATTCTTGTTTTGAAAACTAAATTGTATTTGGTGAAATTTTTGATTTGTGTATATTTTGCAAACTAAATCGTATGTGGTGAAATCAAGCTCTGAAATCGAGTTCCTGAATATATATATATATATATATATATATATATATATATATATATATATATATATTATTTATGTACACCATTAAAAAAATACTACTAGGGATGAAGCAGAGTAGAATTTATATGAGAAAAAGTCGAGTACTGGAAAATTAATTTATTTTAACAAAAAAAAAAAAAAACCATATAGGCATACATTTCAGAGTGTTAAAAAATGCTACCAGACATGTTTCACCATGTTTTTATTCCAAAATCCTCACTCCAAATTTTCATCCCAAACATGTTTTGTTCTCATTTCAGAATACCACATTACAAAACACTTGTTCTATTCTAGGCTAAAACAAAACACTGCAAAGCACAACACTTTCCAACACAGGCCCTAAGTTCTTGTTATGCAGAGTAGCAGTTATTGAATAGCCCGGCCAATCGAAACTTCATATTTACCTTGATAATAGGGAATGGAATGTTGTGATTGGCCAAGATATTCACTAACAGCTACCCTGGAATACCCAATAACTTGTGATAACTCCATAAATCTTGTGTTCAATTTCTAAAAAAGTTAAGAGCATTCTGGTACAACTAAACCTAAGTTTGGTCTAAGTTATACCTTTATCTTTTTTTTAAAATGTTGATGATTAAGGGTGTTAGGCGAGCGAGTTTGGGATGGGTACCCCTTTCTCAAATCCTTCCCACCAATTAAAATCTTTTCTTAATATGTTATAAAAAAAATCAAGTTTGAACAAATTTAAGATAATTTTTTTTTATAAAATTTACAGTATAATCAAATATTTAGCAATCATAATAACAAAAATGTTGTTAAATTTTAAAATTTCATAACAAATAAAGAAAAATAAAAAATTATAATTAATAAAATAATATTTATTTATATATTATGTATTAATTAGGGTGGGTCCGGGGTTTTACGAGCTTTAAATTCTCTTCATAAACTTATTTCTAACTTTATTAAAACGATCTCAAATTCTTCTCATTCCTAAAGAGATGGTAGGAGACCGTCAGCACAAATTAAATGGACAACTTTATTGATGATTCAAGTTTATAGTGAGATGGTTATGTGTAAATTTTTTCTTAAAATAAATAAATAAATGACGGTCCTTGATATTAGTTTATTTGTTAACATGCAATTCAGTACGATGGGTCGGTGGGATACTGCATACACATCCACCGAATCATAAACTTGTAATCTTCATTTCCCCTTCTCAAATTGTGCTCGAGTCCATAATGCCCATTGCTTAACAAATGAGGATTGTTGTAAAAGTGGGCTAATAATCAATAAGATAACGATATGGTATGGGTTTTTAAGAGGTGGAGTCAAAATGGGATTGGGGTCGGTGCATTGAGGGGCCACATCACATGGTTGTGTTGTGTGTTTTGCGTGTGTGTGTGTTCTTTCACCACCCATAGACATAGACACTGCATGTAAAGATTTAAATAATAGTGCTAGTCTCCAAAGCATTATGTGATCTGAAGTCCCACCCAACACGTACGTTTTGCTGGCACCATGTGCCCCAAATCATCGGTTGGATTGACATTTGGGTAACAATCCCAGGCCAACCATTATTCAATTAGGACCAACTTGCATTTGAATCTCATCTCTCAAGTCTCAATCACTAGCTTAATTGCACAGCTTCCCAAAGTTTTCATTTTTAATATTGATTACCATATATATGTCCCATTACACAAATTGTCAATTTAACAATTATATCAAATAAAAATATGAGTTAGTTTATATTAAAATAGGTCATTTGATCAAAGATCACCAGCTAGAGATTTAAAAATAAAAAATAAAAAAAATAAAAAAAAATTATAAATTTACATGTTTCACTCAAGACTTGGCTGCATTCGCGGAGTCATCAAATCTCTGGTTATAAAGTTAGAGTTACATAATCAATGTAAATACCCTTTAAAAAGTTAGAATAAAGCATTATCAATCTCCAAACCTTTTATGATATATATATATATATATATATATATATATATATATATATATATATTTTATCTTAGAAAAAAAAATATATACACTCACATATCTGATATTTCGAAAACTTATTACATATTCTAAATATAACTGGACAACAATTGTGATACCATTTGACCAATCAATTCAGTTTGGAAAGTTTATTCGGCTTAAAGTTTAATTCTCTACGGCACAATTACTCATTGAACTAATATTCACTCCACCAAGTATTGTCTCGCACATTGTTTTCATATCCCCAAAAATTGATTGATAGATCTCCATATATTTTTATATTTAAAGTGGTACCAATTTATATATTGGCCATTAGGCAGGGACATGAATTGCATTAACAAACCAAAATGTACAGTAGGTGGGACTCTGATGCTCCAATTATTATTGAATATTGACTCATAAACATCTTGCCCAAATTCAGACCCCCCCACATGTTGACATAATTGGGCCCCTAAGGTATCAAATTCCAGTAACTACATGTCACACTCGACTCTGTGCAAACCCAATCTCCAAGATATTGCATAGTCTTTAATTGGGTCTTATGTTCTGATACCTGTTTTTTTATTAATTTATTAGAAAGCTACTTTGATGCCCAAGACAGTGGACCATTATACATATATACATATATATATATGTACATGTGCACAAACATATGGACATGTTTGGTATGTCTATATAAAGGTTGGCTTCGTGTCATTGTGTTATGTGCTTAAGTCCTATTCTCTTGTCTATATTGCATTACCTTAAACTTTCTTTCGTTTGTTATTTCATTTTAAGTTCTCCTAAGTCATGGCTTCTGCATTGCCTGAAAACTGGTCACATATCAATGGCTCTGATGACTTTGATCAATTTGAAGTCCCGGAAATCAACACTGCCCTTCTCATGTCATTACTCGAAGAATCGCAGGTCGAGGAATGCGACGACGAGAGATTAAGAAGTGTGATTCAGTCATTAGAAGCAGTGATTGATCCAAACAGATTGGATGGTCATGATTCACTTGTGGAGATGGAGTGGGGCAGTGGCAACTTGAATGGTTGCACCACACCTTCCGATGGGGAACAATTGAACGGTCAGGATTGCTCGACGTCTCTTGATCTTGACTTCAGCTGGATGGATGTGGAGATGGTTCCTTCCTCACCTAGTGATGAGATGACTAATTGGTACATGGACTCCTTCAGAGATGGCACTGATGGTGTCATTGAACTTGGAGATTATTCTCAGATTTGTTATGGAATGCCCTTGGAGGAGCATGAATATGGTTCTTTGTGGCAAGAATCACATTCTTCAGTGATGTATGACTAAGGGTAATTTTGCCATTTGCACATTTTCACATTTACTGTAAAGCCTTAAGAGCACAATGAATTGAACCATTTGTAGTTGGACATTGTTCTCATGTAAAATTTTCCTCTATATAATTAATCAAGGTGAAAATTTGGCTCAACTATTGTGTGACTAAAGCTTATATTCTGTTTCATTTTGCCAAGAGTATATTGGACTCAAACTGAAAGGCTAAAGATGGGGAGAACAAAAATACAAGCTCCGTCACACCATAAAAGAATGTATATATATGTTTGTATATATACGCGCGCACATAAATATACAACTAATGAAGTCTATGATATATTTTCAGTCTTTGAAGCACAACTCATTAATAAATTCATGAACAAAAGCTATTTGCCAGAATGGCCACCTAATTTAGATCATTACAGTCCATATTTGGACCATGGTTGAATGCTATATGGAAGATCATATTGAATATTTGATCCTGAAAAAAAAATATATATATATATATATACACACACACACACACACACACAAACAAGAAGAAGAAAATTAAGATCATCAATTTGCAAGGAAACCATTTAGTTTATGAAAGTTCCATTACATACAACTTCATTAATTATTAATTATAAAGTTTTTTCAGCTGTATAAAACCTTATTTGTATTTTCATCTACATTATTTCCAATTTAAATTAATGTGACCTGCCTTAAGCCACCATGATGTAATTATGAACCCATTGTCAATTTGTTGTGACAAACTCTTTTGCCTGCTAATTATCTTATCCAACATGTTGTGCTATTCTGTGGAGTTATATGAACAAGAGCAACAACTCAAAGATTAAAACTTACTTGTATGTTTTGCTTAATGAAGACAAATTAAGTTTCGATATTTCGTGGACTTTCATCAAAAATGATTTTTGAGAAAAATAATTCTGTTTTTATAATTCACCCAAATCAGTCACAACCAACAATTTCATAACTAATATCACACATCTCCTTACAGAAAAAGAAATATATATATATATATATATATATGAATTTATTTGAACCTGTCCTTGTCGGTTTATGTGTGCCGACAAATGTTGTTAACTGAAAAAAAAAATTGAATTAAAATGCAGAATCATTGAATCATACACAATCAACTTTTAAAGAAAATGAATGGCTTGTGCATTACTTAACTAAATAAGTATCAAGATTATAGTTAGTGGGTTGATGATAAAATTAAAATATGGTTCTTTCATATCAAACTCCCACCCAACAACATGTGCTGGTGGCACCATGTGCACCAAAGAGTGCTTTGGATGGTCAGAAATACGGCTAACACCGCCCACATTATTCAATGGGACCCACTTGCTCATGAATCTCTTTTCTCAATAATTTAATACGTATAAAAATAAATAAAAAATTTAAAGCATAACAAAACAGACTCTGAGTCTGCTTAGCAAATTGTCAATATAAAAGACTAATGAGATCCAGCCAATGATTTTATAATACAATAGTCAAGGACAGTTTAAAACCTAATTTGAGATGTAATTGGGAGTCCAAACTATCATGATGTATGCAAAAGTTGGTCCTCTCTCCTTGCTTTATTGCTCCTATGTGATCTACATATCATGGAGATATCAGATATATATATATATATTATATGCTGTTTTATTCTGCTGTCATACTTTTTTCCGGTCATATTTGCGATAGAATCGGATTTTGCTTAGCTGCAAAGGGAGTTGATAGACAAGTGGGGATTTGTTAATTAATACTTCAAAGTTAGTGTTTGCTTAATTATCATTTGATTTCAGTAAATGCACTTTTATATAATGCTTTGCTCTTTTGGTATAAATCAATCAACCTTGAAGACTTAGCTTCTTACCCTAAAAAAAATTCTATTATATATGAATTTTGTAGTACATCAACCATGAAGAGTTAGTTTCTTCTCCAAATTCCTATACTTCTAACCATAATACTTTTTTTTCTTTTTAGCAACCATAATACTTTTCCTACACATACATGTTTATGTACTATAAGAGTAAAAGGAGCTTTTTTTTTTTTTTTTTTCTTCTTTTTATTTTTTATTATGCAGTTTATAACAAGAAAACATGTATTTTATTCTTATAGTACATAAACATGTATGTGTCAGTCATGAAAAAAAAATAAAAATAAAAACACTGAAACTAAGTTGTATTTTTCTTCATGTGCGCATTTGGCATACAATTTTCCTCGTTAAATCAAATTCCAACTATTTGACCCCTTCATTGTAACTATAAGAACAAAGAAACAAAGCGTAGCGCCTTAATTACGTACGTTAATGAATACAAAAGGAAGACAGTGAGGATTCGTTGTCCAGTATCAACATAAGCAAGTCATTTTCGTAGTCTCTCCGTGCTTTGTTTTGGCATGTTTGGTGATCGGATCACATCAATATCTAGGTTACATCTAACACCAGCTACATTTCGATGATTTCGTTATCTGTCATTTTCTTCTTCTTCACCATCCAAGACAACTGGTGTCTACTGCAAACTATGGGAGCGTGCGTAGCTGACAACAATCAGAATCTTGCAAGGAACATATTAAAGCAAGCGAAACAAAAGTTGTCTAGTTAGGGACAAAAGCTTCAACATCAAGACATAAAAAATAAAAAACTTCTATGATCTGATCTTAAATGACACACTGGTTCATTAATTAAAAAATGTTATGTGCACATGATTGGCACTGGTTTATCTCGTGGTTTGCCTATTTATAGGCTTACTTTCATGAAGACTGTCATTGTGATATCTACATTTTGCATTGACTTAATTCATATTCAGTTTTCTTCAAGTCTATTTTCTTGATTTTTATGGCTTCTTTGGTGCCTCAAGACTGGTCGTGCATGGACACTGATGAGCGGAACAAAATTGAGGTCTCAGAAATGGACAGTGACCTCCTCTTGTCAATGATCTCATTACTTGAAGAATCACAAGTTGATGATCATATTGGTGATGATGAAAGATTGATTAGGGTCATTCAATCTCTGGAAGCAGAGATCAATCCTATTGTGATGGACGGTCCTGATTCGCTGGTTGAACCCATATCAGTTGGCTACTTTGAAGACTGTCAACTGTCTGATGTAGGGCAAGTGATCAACACTCATGATTGTTTGATATCAAATGATCCCAACTTTAGCTGGATTGGTATGGAGATGGTGTCTTCCCCAACATGTGATGCGATGACTGGTTGGTACATGGACTATTGTGGGGATGAGATGGATGGTATAATTGAATTTGAAGAGCTTGGAGGTTTTTCTCACATCAATATGGATATATTTTACTAGCAATGCCTCAAAAGAGGATTAATGTACTGAGTGCTCGAATCGATTTTTTGGCGGCTCTAATATATTGTTTCCAACAATGACTATTATACAATAATCAATATGATAAAGTCTCGTTTTTTTTTATGGTGTTTTGTTCAAGGTTTTAACATCGATTGAAATTTTTATTATTTTTTTAGATTGTGTTTGGGATATGGAATTAGAATCTTGAAATTGAAAAAAAAAAAAAAAGAAAGAAGATAGAATTGAAGTCTTGAAATTGAAATTTGAGTTTTGGAATTGAAATTTGAATTGGAATTGGAATTGGTTCAATTTTTTGAGTTGTTTTTCTTCAATTCCACCAATTTCAATTCCAAAGCTTTAATCATGTTCCTTCGAAATATAGCCTCAATATATTTGAGACATTTTTAATATGAAAACTGCTATTTAGAATGAAAATTCAAACCGGCATATTATTGTTTGAATGAATTGTTGACCAACATTCTCATCAATTAAAACTCCTAGGTGGAGGAAAAAAAAAAAAAAAACTCCTTAGTAGAGAGAATGTGCTCAATGACACCCCTATCATTTTCTTTACTAGCAATGTGTTGACCAAATTTTATAAAATAATAATTTTACTTGTTTTGTGTTTTTTTCTGGCACACACATGCTTACACACCTATTTTGTTCCTTCCAAGAGGTAGAAGATATGTTATTGGGCCATAAGGTCTTTAGTATAATAATTTTACATTTACTTTATTTAAAATGCAATAGTATAATATATTCTAATATAAGAACAAAATTAATAATAATAGATGTTAAATTTCCCAAATCTGTAATTATCCTAATTTATTTACACAATATATGTTCATTTCAATTTCTTATTTAAAAAGAAAAAAAAAAAGGAGCCTTTTGCCGTCTCATGTATGAGAGAAATGCCTCGCATTCTTAGGAAAGCCAGTGATACAGTGACCCCGTTGATTGTCAAGCATTGGATGAATTCAAGTTCGATTGTTGGTCGCAGTACCAAAATTCACCAACCAATGTTTCGACCTTCATTGCCTTACCCAACTCGAATCCGATCAGTCCATTCTTCTTCGTTTTCTTCATCTAGGTCACATCTGGATTCTGATAATCTCAACATACTCAACCACAAAGACTGGCTGTCTCCAAATGAGGTTTTGAAGATTTTCCAAACCCTAAAAGACCCCAACTCAGTGATCACTGTATTGAACCAACTCTCAAAGCGCAAGGACTATAAACCCAACGAAGCTCTTTACACTACAGTGATCAGCAAGCTTGCACTGGCCAAGAATTTTGATGGCATTGAGGATGTCATGAAGAGAATCAAAACTGAAAAAAGTTGCAGACTTTCCGATGATTTTTTCTATAATGTGATCAAGATTTATGGCCATGTTGCAGGTCGTATAAACAGAGCAATCGAGACCCTTTTCGATATGCCCAACTATAACTGTTGGCCTACGGTGAAAACATTTAATTTCGTGTTGAATTTGCTTGTAAACTCGAAGCAATTTGATATTATTCATGAAGTTTATATGGGTGCTTCTCGATTGGGCGTTGAGATTGATGCTTGTTGTTTGAATATCATCATTAAAGGGTTGTGTGGATGTGGGGATCTAAATGCTGCATTCTACGTGCTCGATGAATTTCCTAAACAGGGTTGTAGGCCAAATGAAAGAACATACTCAACGCTAATGCATGGGCTGTGTGGCCGTGGTCGGATTGAAGAAGCATTTGGATTGTTTGAGAGGATGGAGAGGGAGGGTATAGAACCAGATACGATCACATTTAACATATTGATTTCGGGACTTAGGAAACAAGGGAGAGTGGAAGAGGGCATTAAGCTTTTGGATAGGATGAGGCTTAAAGGGTGTAACCCAAATCCAGGAACATATCAGGAGGTCTTGTATGGTTTGCTTGGTACCAAGAAGTTCGTCGAAGCAAAGGAATTCATGGGTCGGATGATTTCTCAGGGTGTTAGTCCTAGTTTTGAGTCTTACAAGTTGATGATACATGGGCTGTGTAAGCAAAATCTACTGGAAGATGTTGATTGGGTACTGAAGCAACTGGTGTGGCATGGTTTTGTACCCAAGATGGGAATGTGGAGGCAGATTGTTCAGTGCGCGTTCTCAAAGAAGAGCAGTTATAACAGTATTTCTTTTGAAAAATATGTTAAGAACTAGCCTGTTTTAAACATTTAATCGTTGAACTGTGCTGTGGTCCATGACATAATTGGGAAGCACAATTTATGGATCAACATTGAACTCACCCTTTGATCAATTTACAAAACCAGAAGACGCAGAGAATTTGTTTGACTAAAATGAACAGGACTCCATCACAACTTTTACATGATTTGACCGAGCAGTTTCCATCAGCCTTGCTAAAGGAGTCCAGTGATGCCCTAGTCTGGACTCTGGAGAATGCATGCCAAGATGTGCCAAGTTTCTACAGGCTACAGAATTTTGTTTGCTCTCCTCTTTAAACATCATCTAGCTTGCTTCAATTTAGGCACAACACTTGCATCAACCACAACTCATGTCAGATTTTGATGTCATTTTACCTGAGGTGCACCCGCAGGCTACAGCATATGGAAACAGAATAATTTGATCTTTTACTCCCAAGAAGGATCGCAATCTGCACAAGGGCTAGTCAAAGAATGCTTCAAGTTTTGTATCTGCTTTGAGGGAGGCTACATATTCATCTAAAGAATCAGCAGGAGAGACTTTAATACAAGATCCATCAAATCAATTAGCTTGTTAAATATCAGATGAACGAACTATGCTTTTGTTACGTTCAGGGCAGTATGGTTCCAGATGAATGGACATGAGAGGGACTCATAGAGAAAGGAGTGTGAGCTCTCTCTATCTCAGGAATGTGGCCAACACTCATCTATGTTACAATTATTTGAGCTTCACAATGTTTTCATTAAGTTTGAATGATTTGTGGGCTCTGCAACAAATATTCTGTATTATCAGCAAAATGTTAATGATGTAGGTGCTAATTGAATCAAATTATTTCATAGGATATAAAAGATGAAGGGTTGCGTGTTTTATTCTACTATCTGAGTCCTGATTATTGATAAGAAACATTATTTTTGACTAATTACTACCTTCAATTGGAGGAATTGTTCTAACATAACAGATTCTCATCTATCTTCTTCTGTCTTCTCAGCAACCTACCACTGCATCGCTGAGATTAATCTATTACACAAGATAAATATGGAAATACTCCAAATCCTTTCTATTGATAAATGTCTGAAAAGTTTCCAGATTACAGCAGACATTTACAAAAAGAGCTGTTTGACACTTCTCAGGATTACATTTACATTGATATGAATAGAAGTATACTCACAAAATCACCACCACATGGAAAACTTATGGTGTAAAACCACTAACAGTTACTTTCTGCAAAAATTTCTTTTAAAGAAAAATTATGATAATAATAAATAAATAAAACTATCTTTTACCTCCTAAATTCTCCGTAGAATTCTTGGGATTCGATGACTACTTGACCAATCTCTCTCCATTTCCTTCAGAGCTGTTTCTTTGATGCGTCCTCAATATTAACTACAGGGTCACAAGGCATCGTTTGATCATGTTCCTTGGATTTAAATGAATCATTACTACAACTAGTTTTAGGACTGGAGACAACTGGAATCACTTGAATTCTAGGGGTATAAATTGATGATGGAAGAAAATTCTTGTAAGAAGGGTCAGATCTAACAGAAGTGCCTCTCTGCCACAGGTGATCCTGAATCAACTTGAGATATTCTTGACCCACTATGGACAAATTCATTTTTTATGCCACGAGCATATTTCCCAGATGCTTCAGAATTCTCTTTGCCATATCTTTCACATGCCCCTTGCTTGGGTTCTCCAGGACACTTTCCTCAAGACTAGGTATTCCTTCTGCTTTCAGAAAGGTTTCCCTACGTCGTGTCCTTCGCACCAATCTCCTTTGCATTGTTCGTCTTAATGTCAACATGTGGAGATGGAACTGGTCCAATCTCCTTTGCATTGATTGCTGTAATGTCAGCACGTGGAGATGGCACTGGAGATGGAACTAGAGATGATGAAACCGGCTCTACAATGCTACTCGATTTATCCTCCTTTCTGTGACTCCTGTGGGATGGAACCGGAGATGGAACCGTGGATGGAACCGTTTCTACAACGCTATTTGGTTTATCCTCCTTTTTGTGACTCCTGTGAAATGCTGCACGGATTTTATGCATGCCCTTCCGAACTGAGTTCATCCGACGCCCTTTATTAGTCTCCAAACTTTCATCATTGCTGCTGCCGCTTTCATTCTGATTGGATCCAGATCCCGTTGACCTAAAACTTTCAATTGGACTACTATCCTCCCCATGGATTTTAGTATCAAGAAGCCTACTCTTCCGTTTTCTAGGCTCCCAAATTTGTGTAACTTCACTTCCTGGCTGATGGACCCAAATCCCAGTCTCTTGTTGCCCATCAATGTCAATTGGTTCAAATATATCTGTCACTTTTGGACATTCCGGTGATCCAGATGAGAAGGAATCTCTCTGAGCAGCTTCGCTTGTGAAGGAATTTCTTCTAGATTCATCGTTCGGTGTTCCATTGTCACACAGCTGATCTGCCTGTATGAACCATGCCATGCTTATTAAATCAGAACTCTTTGCATTGCATTGTTCCTATTAACCAACTCCATCATGTTCTGATACATTTCACTGCTTCTGACTGGAGTATGGTTTTTAGGATTACATAAAATAAGCTTTTCCTGTTATCGTTCATGTTGCCAACTCCAAACCATGAAATAGATATGTCCCTTCAAATACCACGGGAAACAAAATGCTATCTCATAGAATGTCGTGGCAACCTTATGTTCTCTGTTTTAGTTCACTAAACTATAGGGAGGGGAAACAAAAAATAATATATAAATACCTTTCCGTTGCCTTCGACTACAGTTATTGCAAGATGCAGTCTCCCCATTTTTATGTTCTGAAGAGACAACCACATGTCATGTCTCTGGCCATCCTTAAAATCGCAGAAGTTTATGGAACAATCTCTGCAAATAATGGGAAAATTGGTACGTTATTTAAGAAACCGAAGATAAGCTTGACAGAAAATCTAGCAAATAGAATATGCAGAAAGCATGGACATATGCAGACCATAAATATCAACTAACCACAGCTGAGACATCAAAATGCAATCTGCAACTCAATCAAATAATCATAGCATGTGATAGATCAAAATTCTGTATGCTTACTAAATTTGTCAGCCAGCAATATCTAAAATGAAAAACTACAGAAATATTTATATGCATGGAGTAACTCTACAAATTTGCAACTTTTAAGGACATGATACTTTTCACAGGAACTTCCCACAGTTTTTTGAATCTCCATTCTAGTTACTTTAGGGATCAATCAACTTCCAGGTTGAGAGAGAAAGAGTATTCTTAACAGAGGAAAAACAAAAAACATATGCAACACTTCTACGGATTATTCCATAAATGGAAAAGATGATAAACATACACACACTCTTTATTATTTCCAAGTTTCCTAGTTAATTTTAAGAGGATCTGGAGAACTGAAACCATGTAAACTTGTGAATAGTTTGCAAATGTGAACAAACATGAAGGGGAAAGATATATAAATATACTAAGTCAATAAAATCAAGTTCTTTATTGCATAACATTACATAAATTGAAGTGACCATTGCTATTATAATAGGGCTTAGAAACAGACCCGAGGACATCATCCACAAAACGATCTTTGTCACGAACTTCAATGGTAAGCACATTAGGTGAGTCCCATGAAAAAATGGGGATCTTGAATTCTTCATGCCATTTTGGAGCCAGTGTTTTCTTCCGCGTTTTAGTCCTGAACCTGTAAGGGCCAAGTTTGCCTTTCAGATATGGATCAGCCAATCCTGGAAAACAGTTCCAGTTAGTGTCCACAGAATTTGATAATTTGCAATGTTTTTGAAAGATGGGTAATGTAGCTCAAACTAACCATTCGAATTTGATGGCTTCATGTCGGCTCCTTCAACAACTTCTATTATGCCATAGGCAATAGGCTCCTTCTCATCCACAGAGAACCAATTTTCTGATACAAAGAATCAATATAATTTTAACATTTAGAAAAAATTTGAAATGCAAGAATTTCAAAAAATTAACTAGCTACAAAACCACCTACATTTTAATCCCAAGAAGAAGCACGCATAATTATATAATTAATTGCAGATGGATGAGATTGCTAGGGACAAAATCCACCCATATAGCACACAAACAGCAAGTAACATAACAAATGTCCCAGAAAAGAAGATGAGCAACCAATAACAAGAACCGTGTTTTTTTTTCAATATTGCAAAGCAATTCTATGTTTCAAATGAAGCTCTTCTAACTAGAAGTTCAAATTTTCACTTACAATCTACAACAAATGCTATTCACTGCATTCAGTATCAAGAAAACTAATCTAAAAAGTTGTATTTTGGGACAAAAATATATTTTCCTTTGAAATGACCACCTTTATAGGCGTGACCCTCACAAAGTAATATCAAAACTAAAAGAAAAACTAACTCCTTAACAACATTGCCATATTTAGCCCACAGCCCTCCACAAGCCAAAAAGTATATTTTTCAGCACAAAGATGAGAACACAAACAATACTTAATAATGGAATTTCCTCGTTTCACCTCTCCAAAGCAGTATAAGTCCTATCATCCAATGAGATACCACCAAATACTTCCCGAGTTAAAATAGGCTTCATGCAAAAGCAGAATTATATCATCAAATTTTACAAGACTCAACAAATGGATTCATCTCAAGTCAACAAAATCTTGTCCCAACTATTTGGGTCGGTTAGATGATCATGTTTCACCATTATGCTCTAAGGCTACAATTTCAATTGGGTCACACACAATCATCTCTTTCTTTATATTTCAACATATCTCAATTTTGTTCCCCCCATACTCTAACGTTACCATTGATATGGGGCATGTCACTCTTTCCCATTGAAACAATTATTGGCATTGCTGCATGTGTCCAAGCTATTTCAGTCAATTTCCTCTAGTTTTATCTCCAATGCTTCAACCGTTTCAAAATATTTTCTTGACAAGTATATGTTTCATTACCTTGATTGCATCTTGATGGTGTTTATCCTCTAGGCTATTGTCTCTTACAAAATGAAGGAAGGAGAAACTGAAGATTTCCTTTAATCAATTAATTGATGCAAAGCTTGCTAATACGAAAGGGGCAAATGGAGAATTTCACATGAAGCATACTTTGTACCTTGCAATAGTCTTATTTTTTGTTAATTTAGTTATAATATGCTGCTGGTATAGTTATATTTGTGTGTGTGCGTTTTTTTTTTTTTTTTTTTTTAAGGTGATTTCACTGGTTACCATTCACATCCCTAAACATCCCCTGTTCATCTCCAAAACCTTGCATAACAACCCCTAATTAACCTAATTATTTCCCTACCATTTGGTCTTTGTTCAAATCCAAAACACTAAAGTAGTTGTCCAGAATTTTCAGCCCCTATTAACTGCATTCAATCAATATTACCTTGCCAAAAGCCAATTTCAACTATATATTTTTCATCTACCAGCTCTTCAACTTTCTTACAACCTTCGAAACACTAGACATACAAGCTTTCAAATAACCTAAGTCCCCCATTGAAATAGAAATATCCCAGGTTTCCTAAAGTTGTTCTACATCAATTATCTTGAATTTATCCACAAATTCTTCTAAAGTGGCACAAATAAAAAGTTACATTCATTGCTTGGAACATTGTAACTTATCAGAAAGCAATAAAGCCCAGTTCCTGTAATCACAAGTGCATAGTCCGAAAAATAATTTCTGCGTCATGAATTACCTGGCTGTGGTGAAGCGAATTTCTCCATATCAACAACCAGCATATTGGGCTGCCAAAAGTTGTGCACATACATTTCAAAAAACACTCCATAAAAGAATGTCGGTGCAATCTAAAGCTAATATAACAGAATCCTAAATGCTTAAGAAACACTGGTGCTACTGAAGCTTACAGAACTTCTTAACAAAAAGAGAAAAGAAGCTTACAAATAAGCAGGAGTGACCGACAGAAAATAAAATCAAATACTGAGAAATTCGGAGACACATGGGAATATATAAAGAACTTTACCTCAACGAGTGTCTGCTCAAATGCAAGGGCCAGAATCTTATCCTAATCAAGGATTAAAAAAAATAATAATAACAATGAGAGAGAGAGAGACAGAGAAGAATTAAGTGTGCATAAAACACAAAATTAACTTACCACCCATCCAGCAATCCCTGGAAGTTCCGTAACATCAAGCCCATGATTTATAATAGGCTTCACAGTCATCTGAAAATATGGTGGCTCAACAAAGCATACTCGCAAACGGCCAAGGAAAGGCCAACAACGAAGGAACTTCACCCCAACCAAGACCTGCAAGAGAGAAAGGAGGACATAAATCTCGAGTAATTTTAATGTGGCATCCATGGATTTAAAACCATGCTCTTCTGTTCAAAAATCAAAAGCAGAAAATGATGATTGCCATTCGGAATATTCAAACTAAACTCAAAATGAAGATATTGGAGTTAATTCCCAAGAAGTGATGATATCAAGAATATATATGATCTCATTCTAGTGCATCCTTGAGTGACCCCTGTTGGGAAACGTGCAAGTTTTAAAAACTTTTCGAGTGATTTTGATTCATAGATCTTGATTCATCACATAGAGACAAGTTTTATGCAAAAATATTAATATGATGTATCATTCAATTAATGGATTGAATACTTACATCAAAGGTCTGAGTAAACCTTTAAAACTTTCCTCTAAAGTGAATGTTCTCACTTATTGTAGATCCCTTAGCAAGATGTCTTCTCCTTGGATCTCCATCTTCTTGGTAATTATTTTGCCTTTAGGAATCACTCATAAGCCTCCATGAATTACCTTGGAAAACTAGGCTTGTGGGAGCCTCCATTAGATGAGACCATAAACCCTAATTTTCTAGAGAGAGAAAATAAATTCCTTTTTCATTCTCATTAAAAATCACCCCCTAAAATATACATAGACCATGTATATTTATAGGCAACATAAAAATAAAGAAAAGGAAACAACAAATCCTTCTCCATCTCTAATTCATATGTCTCAAATCTAATATGATTCCAATATCAAGTTGGGCTATGAGTGAGAATCCATTGGGCCTATTATTTTATTGGCTGCAATGAATTAATAATTGGCCCGGTCCATGGACCCAATTCAATTAATTCATAAATTAATTTCTACTCCACTAAAAGAAATTAATTGAACTCCAATTAAATAATAAATAACCTCTAAGTCAATATTGCACTTTGACCCCTCTATGCATAATTAGTTATCGGATAAATAAAGCCATCAATCCGACTACTTAATTAATATATCTATTTTGGTACCTCTGATTATTTCTGGCTCGATCACAATAAAACATTTGTTTGACAAAAATAATAATTTAAATAAATAAATATATAATAAATCATTTTGTCTAAAAACACACGAAGGCCTTCGAATTTACTTTGTGATCAACCATAATCAATACAAAATAAATACAAGTAGCAATGATGCAAATATTGAAAATATAACCCTCTAACTATTAATTACATAACTACCCAAAGTGTCGGTCTAAGGATCCCGAAGAATCCGCCGAACAAATCAAAGTAATTATTAATTAATAAAAGAGTCTATACTTTTCTCATGCTTAAGAGTCAAATGCCATGACGGTGATAGGGAGTAATTGCATACGACGGCTCTCGCAATATATCTCAACCTAACGCGGATCCAGTTCAAGTCTTAATTAATTATGAGTTCATCCATAATTACCGACTATGAACAATTTATAATTACTATTTATATATCATGCATTGATTGCCATCACATACATATATATAAATATTTCTTGTAATTACATGGACACTATCAATTTCATAGTGAATCGAAACATAATACATTGAATTCACCAATTATATAAATCATAAATATTTCAGATATGTCAGGAACATATGTCACTATAATCCAGATAGGAATTTGCTATGCCAGGGCATATAAATCCCAACAGCTCCCACTTGCCCTCATAGCCAATTCAAATTGCACCTAACTCCAATGTTATCCAGATGATGATCAAAATTATTGATCAATGACACCTTCGATAATGGATCAACAAAGTTGTGTTCCAATGCAATGTTCTAACTACAAGTGCATTTTCTTGTCGGACAATATCATGTAGAACATGATACTTCCTCTCAGTGTATCTTGTTCCTCTATGGAACCTTGGGTCATTGGTTTGGACTACTTCTGCACTATTGTCACAACATAGCTCAATAGGCAGGCTAGTATACTCCACAACCTCTAAATCAGTGAGATCAAACTAATAGGCTTCCTTTGCCGCCTTTAAGGCTGCAATATATTCCACATACAGGTTTGAGTCAGCAATTGAAATCTGCTCAACAATCTACCAACTGATCTCCCTTCCATTAAGTGAACTTACACTGAGTCATGAACCTCATAGTATCTACTTCTGATTGAAAATCAGAACTAGCATACCTGACTAGGACCATATCATCACATCCATAAATGAATATGATATCATTGGTTCTCCTTAGGTACTTAATGATATTTTTCACAATAGACCAGTTGTCAAGTCCAGTATTGGACTGATCTCTACTGACTATCCCTACTATGTAGCGAATGTCCTGTTTGGTATAGACCATGGCATATATGAGACTCTCATATGCCGAAACATATTGTTCCAGTTTCATTTGCTCAATCTCTTTTGATAGTCTTGAAAAACTACTTACTAGAGAGAGCCATCCATATCAATAAAGCAAGAACTCATTCTTTGAGTTATGCATACCAAACCTGGTCAAAACTTTATCAATGTAGGATTATTAAGATAAGCCTATTTTCCTTTTAACCTGATCTTGCAAAAGCTTGATCCTAGGAATATAGCTTACATCTTAAAAATCCTTCATTTAAAAGTAATTGAACAACTACCTTTTTATTGATGACACAACTTCCACATCATTCTAAATGAGTAGGATGTCATCAATATATATAGAATTAGAAAAATAATGACATTCCCTTGCACACTCGTGATTTATTCACTAAGAAATCTTCTGGTATCTTTTTGTAGATTAACTTGCCTTCCATAGGAATCACCCTACTAGAAAGTTCTACAAGATCCCAGAATTTATTAGAATACATCGATTCCAACTCTGATTTCATAATAACTCACCAAAACGATCTGTATCCACATCGGTTCACGCTTCCGTGTAGCTTACTGGGTCCAACTCATGTTTAACAGGGATGTCCATAATGGTCTCACCTAAAAACATGATTCTGTCAAATTGGATGATAATCCTCCCACTACATCAATGTACCGATGCAAGAATCTGTGTAGTAGATGATGCTAACGCATCAATAGGGAATTCATATATTATTCTTAATCTCTATAATAAGTGTGTTCACATGTGGTACATCTGGTACTCATACCAAATTCTCTAACATTATGCTACTAGGTATGTGATTCATAATATGATTCTCCTATAGATAAACAGTGAGTGAAAACAATTAACTTTTATCTTTGAGATCATAAAATAATCCATCCTAGTGACATTTAGAGTAACTATCAAATCTAGCATGCCTATGATCTGCTTCCAACTTACTTGTCCATATCAAGCGCACATGTGCAAGACTACCCCATATGTGCATATGATTCAAACTAATATTTAGTAAAAAAACACAGCTCAACGGTATCCTTGAGACAGACTAAGATGGAATGCAGTTCATAATGCGCATCGATGTCATTAACGCTAAACTCTTAAATGAAAGAGATAATGTAGCATAGCTGATCATAGATCTACCCATGTTAAGTGGAATTCTGTTATTCCTATTTGACACCTAAATACATTTAGCGTCAATTGCGGAAAACTGGTACATAATACCCTCATTGACCATATAGTCTTTGCACTATCCCAAGAAATACTCATATCCTTGATCAGATCGAAGTGTCTTGACAAGTTTACCTAATATGTGTTCCACATCAGTCTTAACCTTCTCAGAAAATACCAAGAGTTTAAGACTTGTGTTGCATCAGATAAACTTATCCAAAACGTGAGTAATCTTGCTTGGATGTTCATAAGACTACACGTGTCAGTGTGTACCGACTTCAATTGTCCTTTATGTCTATTTCATCTGGCTGATTAAGCCCTAAGAGTTATCTATCCTTCAAAACAGGGTTCACAAGTTTGGTTTAGGCTCCCCTGCCTCACTAGGTAATTAACCTTCTTTGACCAATCTTTGAATCTTATTTTGATTGATAACAACCCAAAAATAGACATTAAAAATACAATGAGTCAGGAATAACAAATTTTCTCTTAACATTCAATCTAGAAGATGCAACATTAGTTTCTACATCCTGCAAATCTTAAGAATTTGTGATTATAGTATATTAACCATCTTTCAATACACCAGAAGTAATCGCATATCTATTCAATTTTATAAAACCAGTTTTACAAAATAACAACACAGTTTTTATAAACCACAAGTGAAACAAGAATAAGATAGCGTCTAACTTCTGTGCATAAAAATAGTTCTCTAATACTAATATCCTCATACTCTCTATTTTCAGATGTAATACTCCCACTGACTTAGCTACAACCTTGACATCAGGTTAAGTACAAATATATTCCATATCATCGAGGCTTCTGGAATCCTGAAATCCTTACAATAAATTGCAAACATGTTTAGTGGCTCCAGAATCTATCCATCAGGAATTAATAGACACAACCACATAACATGGCTCAATGATTAAATATATATTTTCCTATGCCACGTCATTGCTTAAACAGTTCGTCCTTTAGTGTTTTAGTTAGCGACAAAAGAAACAGTTTTCTTCGCCCTCAACATACACTGCCTTATTCCCTTTAACCTTTTTGAATACCCATGTTTTGTGCTAGTCTAGTCCTATTATCATCCTTCTTCTTTGCTTTGCTCGTCCACTTGGGCCTAGAAGAAGATGGTATAGACTAGGTTAGATTGATAGGAACGCCCATACTCTTGATTATCCCTTCATCTGTTACCAATTCTATAAGAATATCAGCGAGTGTGAACTCAAACTGATTCCTTATTTAGTTCACTCTAACAGAGTCGAATGAGTTTGGTAATAAGGCAATAATCATGTCAACTTGAAACTTACCACCCAAGTCAGCCTTATTGATCTCCAACTAATTTTTAAATAATAAACAATTATTTTTCAAAATTCGATTTCATACTGGAGTTCCTTAGGCTATCTTGATGCTATTCAAGTCTGACATAGTACTTTGGCATACTCTCTATCTAATCTCACCAAAACATTTTATTGACATTTAACATGATGCTTGAAGAAAATAAAATAATACAAATGTTAGCTTTGGAGTATATTCGAGCTAAACTCTAGAATATTGCACCAAGTCATATCATTTGCCTTATCTAATTTATTAAAAGCATTAATGTCAAATTTGGTATCTCAAAGTAAAAGAGATAGGTATAGGAGTAATAAACACATTTTGTACCCTTACGTTGTGAATAAAATATCTAAGTTCATTTTCCAGTCATTATAAATAAGATCCAATATCATAGAATATGTAAGCAAGCAGATAAACTGGATTAGACATAATTAATCTGAATATAAATGCATTCATACAATATGCAAGGTGAATTATTAATAATGTCATGCATATTTAAAATTAAAATGAGCTTGTTAACCACATAATACAATAAATCTCAATCGAACAAGAGATCATTATCATTATTGGTGAACAATCCCTTTTAATTAATGCGGGTCCCTCAACTCTGTAGCATAATAAATCAACTAATCAATATGTCAATAACTTATCCTGTTGGAGGAGTTCATTATTACTATTATTGAGATTCATTTGTTATTAAGCGAGCACTTCCATTAAAATAATAATATGTGGGTCCCTAAACCACTGCATGAAAAATCGAATAACCAATACGCCAATAACTTATTCGGTTGGCGAAGTTCATTATTGCTATTGGCGGGCAAATCCCATCATTTCCATATCTCTTAAGACAATGCCTTATCTATCATATGAAATGATTCCCGATTTAATTTAGCCTTTCTAAAATCACCTAGTATAGACCACTTCGTTGGGAAGCTAACACTATTGATTTTAGATTGAGTGTATAACATTATTAAAACTCTAACGAAAAATTAAACATTAAATATGTTGTCATTATAATCTAGACTCTTTAAATCATGCGTAAGGCCTTATTTTTAAAGATCTAATTACAATGAACATTTAATATTTGTATTTTCATGAGACAACCATTCTTGTAATATTAAGACTCTTCAAATCATGCGTGGGGCCTTATTTTTGAAGATCTAATTACAATGGTGTTAATAACAAAGGCCATGGGGCAATGTATAAAAATCCCCGCTCCCACTCAATTTTTAATCATTCATAATTAGGGTTTTCATTTTATTCATTTACATGATATAATGCATGCAAAACGTCTTGATTTTAATCCAATTAAATTTAGAAAATATTTGGACTTTAAACGATTCACTAATATTTAACTTGAGGCACACTTCAAAAATAATTTATAAAAATAATTTTTCGTTTCCCAATAAGTGCCCTCTAATTAATTAGTAATCAAATCCAATTAATTTTCATAATTTAACTAATATAAATCAAGCCATTTAAATAAATATCATGGATCCAATGCATGAATAATAATTAATTAACAATTATATATTCCATTCATTTCATACATCGCATAAATAAATAAATGACAGATAAAGCAAATAAAATGGCCAATGGAATCAGCTTTTAACATTTAATTGCTCTAATCACTGCGCGAAGATCTTCTATAAGCTTGCAAACACCCAGATAAGGCTGGTACGCACCAGGAGAAGCAAAACACCGCTTGGAACGCGCCTGGAGGGCCCCACACGCGCCTGGGGCATGCTGAAGGTCTTTGCACGCGCTCCCACGCGTCCCCACGCGCCGACACGCGCTTGGGGCGCGTGGGACGCGCCCTCACGCGCTCCCACGCGCCTGGGGCGAGTGGGACGCGCCCTCACGCGCTCCCACGCGCCTGGGGCGAGTGGGACGCGCCTTCACGCGTGTGGAGGACAAAACCTCCATGGCTGGCGCGTGAGATCCACGCGCCAGCTTGCCCATTGACTAGTCCACTCTTGGCGCGTGTGGAACACGCGCCAGGCTCACCTAACCGCTGCCACACCTGATCCGGGCCACCTCCGACGCCTCTTCTCGCCGCCGGCGAAGCTCCGGCCACCGGAAAAACGCCGAAAAAATTCCAAAAAATCCGGAAAAATCCCAGAAAATTAAATTAAGCCTAAAAAAATTCTAGAAAAATTCCAAAAAATTCAGAAAAATTCCAGAAAATTACTGAAGCCTAATTTAATCCTCTTGAACTTTCTTGAAGCTTTATAACATCCTTTGATGAAAATTACATGGCTTTAAAAATATTTACAATTTGAAATACAATGGAAAAAATTAAATTACATCATTGAACTTTCAAACGGCTAAATCAAAGCCTTAATTACATTCATCCAAAGATAAAATTACATTCAATATTCCTATAAGCTTCATCCATGGCCCATACATACATCATCATTCATTCACAATTATTCATACATCATCATGTATCAATATATATCAATATATTAAATCATACATCAACATACATTAATAAAAATATATATGAATATAATTTTGGATCCACGAATGATGATTTTCATAAAATCATGATCTCTAGTAATGAATCAAACCATGCTCTGATACCACTGTTGGGAAACGTGCAAGTTTTAAAAACTTTTCGAGTGATTTTGATTCATAGATCTTGATTCATCACATAGAGACAAGTTTTATGCAAAAATATTAATATGATGTATCATTCAATTAATGGATTGAATACTTACATCAAAGGTTTGAGTAAACCTTTAAAACTTTCCTCTAAAGTGAATGTTCTCACTTATTGTAGATCCCTTAGCAAGATGTCTTCTCCTTGGATCTCCATCTTCTTGGTAATTATTTTGCCTTTAGGAATCACTCATAAGCCTCCATGAATTACCTTGGAAAACTAGGCTTGTGGGAGCCTCCATTAGATGAGACCATAAACCCTAATTTTCTAGAGAGAGAAAATAAATTCCTTTTTCATTCTCATTAAAAATCACCCCCCTAAAATATACATAGACCATGTATATTTATAGGCAACATAAAAATAAAGAAAAGGAAACAACAAATCCTTCTCCATCTCTAATTCATATGTCTCAAATCTAATATGATTCCAATATCAAGTTGGGCTATGAGTGAGAATCCATTAGGCCTATTATTTTATTGGCTGCAATGAATTAATAATTGGCCCGGTCCATGGACCCAATTCAATTAATTCATAAATTAATTTCTACTCCACTAAAAGAAATTAATTGAACTCCAATTAAATAATAAATAACCTCTAAGTCAATATTGCACTTTGACCCCTCTATGCATAATTAGTTATCGGATAAATAAAGCCATCAATCCGACTACTTAATTAATATATCTATTTTGGTACCTCTGATTATTTCTGGCTCGATCACAATAAAACATTTGTTTGACAAAAATAATAATTTAAATAAATAAATATATAATAAATCATTTTGTCTAAAAACACACGAAGGCCTTCGAATTTACTTTGTGATCAACCATAATCAATACAAAATAAATACAAGTAGCAATGATGCAAATATTGAAAATATAACCCTCTAACTATTAATTACATAACTACCCAAAGTGTCGGTCTAAGGATCCCGAAGAATCCGCCGAACAAATCAAAGTAATTATTAATTAATAAAAGAGTCTATACTTTTCTCATGCTTAAGAGTCAAATGCCATGACGGTGATAGGGAGTAATTGCATACGACGGCTCTCGCAATATATCTCAACCTAACGCGGATCCAGTTCAAGTCTTAATTAATTATGAGTTCATCCATAATTACCGACTATGAACAATTTATAATTACTATTTATATATCATGCATTGATTGCCATCACATACATATATATAAATATTTCTTGTAATTACATGGACACTATCAATTTCATAGTGAATCGAAACATAATACATTGAATTCACCAATTATATAAATCATAAATATTTCAGATATGTCAGGAACATATGTCACTATAATCCAGATAGGAATTTGCTATGCCAGGGCATATAAATCCCAACACCCTATACATCAAAGATTCGTACTCGCACAAGATGTGCCAACCAAATTGAATGGGGCAGGCTGAAAAGGTTTCTTAGGGCTGATTATATGTGGCTAATGGTTTGTGTTGTTGGTTCGATAATGCTGATAATGGAAATACACTCCAAATATGATGAACATTCTAAGTGAACTGCATACTAACTCAAGATAAAGGGCGGAGTGGAGTGGCAGCATAAGGGAACTATCGACCCCTTGAGGCAACTTACTGGTAATATGTTCCAGAGTTAATCTCTAATAACATGTTATTATTAGGTAATTTCTGGTACATATGGTCATAAAAGCATACAGAGGCTTACTGTAAAAATTCACATTATTTACAAAGTGTTTCATATAGACACTAAAAATTTACATTATTTAGCATTATTCTCTATTTATTTTGAAAATAGTTTTATTTTGAAAGTAAGTGGAATTATTTTTCTACTAGTTTTATAAAATCTTACAATCCTCCATTAAAAAACTATGATCTTGATACTGTGGAACCTCCATTGAGCCTACCTAGAATCCAGATCCTAATAACCACGCTTAATACTATATATAGCATATTAATCATTTCAAAACAGTTTTCAGCTTAATCATCATCACACTTTCAAATTCATCAAGTTCTACCACAGATATAATTCAAATATAATACAAAGGGCATTTCAGCTGCAACAGACGAATATTGTGTTAATCACTTACCTTCCCTTCAATGTGCATGCCCGTCAAATGTAACTTTGCCCACATCCCGAAACCCAATCTTTTCCTTAGTTTCACTGCAAGTATTGCACTCATGTCATCTGCAGAGTGAAAATTCATTCCCAACTCCAAAACCTACAGTTAATAAATTTCAACGAATCTTCTAAGCTAAGTAGTATAAAAATTGTAGCCACAAATAGCACACACCACTCGGTCCACTCCTGAGACGAAAATTACATACCAAGTGGTCATCATTGGTAGATTGACGAAGAGCCCTTATTTCTGTGAACATAGGTGGAGATCTACCTAAGTACAGAGTCTGAACCACAGCTTCCTTCTGAAAAGGGTTAACCCAAAAAAAAAAAAATCAATATCTCAAGAGTCAAGAGCAATCAATCAGACTACAAATGATAGCAAGAATTCAATATTAAAGGTTCATTCTTAGATATATATATATATACTAATGGGTATTAAACACAGATACTTCTAGAAGGAGAGATATCTGTATTGTATCAATATCAAATACCAAAAATCCTCAAACATCCTATACTTCCCATAATATATCTACTGTTTCAAAATAAATTTTTTAATGCCAAAAGTGTAGCTCCTACTTCTGGGATAATTTAAAACAACATGTCTTAAACATTAAGATGCAGCATTTCTAGACCTATAACATTATTGTATAATCGAGTTGAATTGGTATTAAAATAACCTTCAACTTTGGCATGTGAATTTTAAATATAAAAAGAAGAGTCAAGATCTGATAAATTCGTGAAAAATGACTTCTCAATATGATATCGATATATATCTTGACAAAAAAATTATTTTAGTTAGGGTATTGCAACCTTCCTAGAAGAAGGCACTTCGGGCCAACTAAATGTGATGGAGTGAATAGATAAAAAAAATTAGGCAGACAAATTCATACTGCGGTCCATGGTTTGTATTTCTGCAAGAACCAAGGTACAATTGGGAGGAGAATTTTCTGCGAAACAATCTGCTCCATACAAACTGGCCAAATCTTTTCAATTGCAAGGTTCAACCACCGAATTGTTTCGGTGTCGGAAAGTACCTGAAGAAAAATGCAGAAGGGATAAATCATTAAGAACTTCTATATATAAGAGTTCATTTGTTTAGCTGAAAAGTTTTGAATTTTATGGATCTAAAAACAAGATAAACATGTCTGTTTGGTTTGTCACTCAACAAACCGTTTTCAAGAACTCAATAAACAGTTTATATGTTTTCAAAGAACTATAAAAGACAATTTATCTAACAACAGTCAGTTTTTAGAAATTGTTAACCAAACAGATTTTTATATAATTTTTTGATTTTCAGTTCATGCCACCACCTCAATTTCTTCACTTTTCATCAACCAAAACGAGAATAAATACTTGAAAAAAAAAGAAAAAAAGAAAAGAAAAAGAAGGGAGAATAAATTATAAAACACCATTAAAGCAAGTGAGTGAAATGAAAAGGGGAGGAAAAGTACCCGTCTTTGATTAGCCTGTTTTCTTTCCTCGAATTGCAGTCTTCTCCGTAATCTCATCATATATATATCATGTACCTCCAGAAACAGAACCAAAAAGTGTCAATTGAATAAGACATCACAAACACATCCACAAATGATCAAATTCAAACTTGTTATGCAAATTCATATACAAATTTTGTGTGTGTGTGTGAAATTTACCAGATAGAGATAGAAAAAAGAGGCCAAGTAGATGACCAAATCGCAACAATTATACAACGAAAGCAACCATAAAACCAGAAACACAATGGCCACATGGTGTATAATAGAAGCCTCCAATATACCCATATCTTCTTCTTCTCATCAAACAAAAACTTGGAGATTGATCAATCAAACGTAGAATCTATCCATATTGAATATATATATAATGATAAATGTATATACATATATGCCGACTAATGAGAAAAGGTCCGGCGAAGAGAGAGAGAGGAGAGAGAGAATATTTAAAATATAGGTACAAACGAAAGGAGACTTGTTCGTAGGCCTTGTTGACAGTTGAGAGGCAGTTTCGTGAGGGTGTCCCATGCCACGTCTTATACGTGTCGCGATTACAGGAAGATACGCTTTTTTGCTGTTTTCTGCTGGGGTTGTGATTGGGAAGGCTCATCGCCACTGTATCACTCGTGAGGAGGCTGATATAGACCTGTAGGCTGTAACTCGTTTGAGGGGCAATTGTGTAATTTCATTGTTGATTTGACAGTGGCATCTCATCCCACAGGTGGTGGTGACCAAACTTAAAATGTAATTACTATTGAGCGATTGAGATGTAAATCTTTCGTTACAATAGCTATGGTCGCAGAACATTTATTTTTAATTTTGTTTGAATAGGACTTGTTTGGTAGATGTTTCATTTTATATATGTATTTTTTTTTTGGTTAGGTACTGTAATAGTGAAATAATAATAAAAAAATTGTTTTGTTTTATATAATACGAAAACGTTTTGTGAATAATGACTAAAAATCAAAACACCATTTAATATTTTTATATATTTTTGCATTGTACGGTTTGGAGTAAATTTTATTTAAAAAAAAAAACTCATATTTTCTAAACTTTTAATATTTTTTTTTTCAAATATATTTTTACAACAAATGAGTATTACTAAACATAATTTCAAACTTGCGTGCCAAATAGATTTTAAATTATAATTTTCATTATAACTTTGATTATTGTTTTAGGGACATCTGGCCTAACATTAACTACTGAAGTGACATTTGGGGCCATGCCATTCTCCTTCCTCAACATTTGTGACTATGCCATTCTCCTTCCTGAAAATCAAATGTCACCCTCCCCACTAAATAAAGTTTCTAGCTCCCCTCCATATATGCTTACAATTTAGAACTTTATACTATATATTATTACATTAAACTTGCCTGAGTAATATATTATTATATTTTATATGTAGAATCAACTCATTCGCTAGTCACTTTAAACTCTTAGATGATTTGTAAATTTTGAATATGTGTAATCACAAATCACATATATTATTTAAACTCGAGTGTTTTTGGACTTTGTAAAAATCGAATTCAGAATATTTTGAGTTTACTATTTGCTTCGAGAGATCCTTTATTTACTTGGCCACCCACGTGTGTTAGTATAACTGTTATCCAAAGTAAATGTAGATAATTGTTTTTTAATTTCAACTCTTGTGACATATACATTTTATATACCAAATATAGCTTTAAAGTGTTGTGGTTTAGTTTAATTAACACATTTTATATCAAACTATGGTTTACAAGGTCTAGAAGTGTGAAATAAGGCAATGTAGTCCTGATTTTTATTGGTAACGTCTGAAAGTGACACTTATCCAAATCTTCAACGCATTAACATATGCTGCCAAATTCTTGACCCAGCACATGACCAGTAGGTCCAATGAAACAGATATGTTGTGTGTGTGTGTTCACACACATGGGCATGTGCCTTTAATTTCTTTTTCAAGTGAAGAATTCAGTTCATCAAGTTATCCATCATATGCTAACTGTAGCAGTAAAATAATGAGTTCTAAATTTATTAGGGACCTAACCATGCTTATGGACAACAACTGTAATTGAATTTCAGAGTTTTGGCATTAAAAAGTGAATATTCAAAAATCATTTGACAGTTTATGTGGTTTAATTAAAACTCAATATTGAAATAATTGTTCAAGATTTTTTTTTTTTTTTTTTTTTTTTTTTTTTTTGAGGTTTCTATCTGTGTGTTTGGGGTTTTAAAAATGTACTACCAAAATAGAGTTTAAAAAACACAATTTTTAAAAAAACTACTCTTCTTCTTCTACTTTTTTTTTTTTGAAAAGATGTAAGACAACTAATTAATAAAAGCCATACAACTATGGTTGTTGTGAGCTTAAACTTAAATCTCCTTATTGAAGGTGTATAAGAATATGGTACAGTACAGGGGTTGCACAATCTCAACACATAACTTTATGCTTGTTGTGCACTGTAACGGTACCATTTGAACGCACATAATCCTTCCATAAGAGACCTAATTCGGTAAAGTCTTATGTCTGCGTTGAAATATATGAGTGTGACGGAGTTTTAAAAATATAAAGAAGAATGATGTATATTAAACATAAACAGGCATGATAAAGTGATTTCAAAAAAAAATTGAGACCAGTAAATACTATAATTTAGAATCTTTCGTTTTGAAATTAAAATTTTCTTCGATTTCAACCACATGACTTCAATTTTTTGGAATAAAAATTTATTTTGCTAATGGTGTTTTTTGAAACTTAGCCTATTTGGTTAATGCTTTTGCTTCGTGATTTTTACTTTTACTAGTTTAATGTAGCGAAACAAAAGTACCAAGCATGTTTGGTAATGTTTGTTGTCATTTGAATAATACAAAAACGTATCTAAAATTGAGGTCAAAATCATAAGCATCAAAATTATAGTTTTGATTGTTTCCGCTGTAGTAAAATATTGTTAAAAATAAAAAATAAAAAAAATATATTCTTTCTAAAATAACATTTTTAATTAGTCATTCAAAATTTCAAATTTACAACATCTTTAACTAAACATACTTTCACAAATTTACTTCTAAAAATCTTATAATAAATTTACTTCACCAAATAAATTTTAAAATAGTATTAGACACATTTTAAAATAGAAACATTACTTTTCTTTGGATCACAGTGGCAGTTCTACCCTTCTTTTTGTTACTCCATGCTAACCATACAGTCAACCATTTCACTAATAAACCAAACGCACCATTTGTTTTTTAGCACATTTGAAAAATATAGTCGACATCAGACCCACCAATCCACGTGTACAGTTTTAATTAGTTAAAAGTAGATTAGAATTAGCTGTATTATACTCATACATAAATATACATATTCATACATACATATCTGTATCTCTAATTCTCTATGGTCATACATTTCTCATACCCTGTTAAGCTCTCTTAGTCTCTCTCGCTTCTGGATCTCAAGCTTAGCTGAAGAAAGAAGAAAGAAGAAAGAAGAAAGAAGAAAGAAGACTTTATCATCATCACCACCGCCATCTGAAACCTTTAAAGTCGACGATTTTGGAGAAGATGAGTGAAGAAGGCAAGGACAGAGGAGTCACCAGCGGCGATCATCATCACCATCACCATGATCATCAAGAGCAGCAACCTCAGTACGGAACGTTTCAGGGGGTTGCGAACTATCCTCAGCAGCCGGTGATCGGGTTTCCTCAGCCGATTCCGCCGCCCGGCTCCAGCGAAGCGTCGGCTCCACCACCGCCTCAGTATTATGCTCAGGGGTATCAGGCCGTTCCAGGTGCGAACCCCTCTCTTTGTCTCTCTTCGATTACGTTTTCAATTGGGTTTTTGATTTTGTGTACTCCGTTCAATTGGGACACTGATAATATGTTGAATCGTATCATGTAGTGTAGGTCAAAAGAGGGAAATAAAAATTGTGAACTCTATATTCATTTATTTGATTGAAAGATTGATTGTTGTGATGCTCTTACATCTACTCTTTTTTAATCCCAAAGAACAATTTTTGCATTTCCTTTTTATTGGAAGTTGAAGTTTGATTGCTAGAAAAATAATGAGTGATCTTTTAGTGTTCATTCTTCTATCAAATCTTCCAAAGCCTCATTGGTCTATACATCCCTTAGAAGTACAAAATCACCAAATTTGGGGCGTTTTGATTCTATCTGCTGTATCAATTCCCTCATGCTTATTTTGTGATTCATTGATTGTAGATTTTGTAAGAGTGCTTAATCAATATGCATCTTGAACTGTTTAGACTGAACTATTAAAACTTGAAAGATTGCAATGGTGATGGTCACACTTTTTTATTTTTTATTTTTATTGAAGGATTTATATATTTAAGTTACACCCTCCCCAACAGCCAGCTTAAACTTTTGGAGTAGATGGTTGTTAGCATGGTATCAGAGCGTAACGTCTCGTGTTCAAACCTCACCGTCACCCAGATAATTAAAATTGAAAACGGGGTGTTGGACAAAAAGAAGGCCACACATGAGGGGGCGTGTTGAAGGATTTATATATTTAAGTTACACCCTCTCCAACAGTTTAAACTTTTGGAGTAGATGGTGGTTAACAATTTTATTTATTTATTTACTTTTAGTATATATTAAGACAAGCAGGCGCGGATTCCATATGGATTTGTTAGCCATATTTCTTAAAATTGTTGAACCTCGACTATTTTGCTTAGTCTTTACTTGGTCTATTTAGTTCTTTATTTTGGATTATTTTGATGGTATATCAGGTTATGCTATTGCTGAAGGAAGACCTGTAAGAGAGCGTCGCCTTCCTTGCTGTGGTCTTGGTCTTGGCTGGTTCTTGTAAGTTATCATTCGGATCAATAATTTGTTTTCAATAGTCTATATATAAATATATCAATGTAACTTGTGATTCAACAAGTGTCATGTTGGTATATAGATTTATTAGGTGAGAACCATGAGATTTGCATACCTCTCTTTGAATTTGAAGCTCTCATTGATAATGTGTAGATTGAAGTCTCAATACAGAGTTGAACAACGTAATTTAACTGGATGAATCTAAAGTATGGTTACTAAAAGTGTTGGCCTAATGCCAGCCCATTCGCTCTAGCCTCTGCTTTCTTGCTCATATTGGTTTTAGTTGACTGTACTAGAGTTTGAAACTTGAAAACATTGGACTTCATAAAAATAATATTTCAGTTATTTGTTTTTGGCAAAACATCATTCTGCTTATTTCTAGACACCTTGAAGCTTCTTTATATTGAATCCAATCCTAATTCCCAAAATATTGCCAAATTCTTAGAAAATTCAAGTTTTCTTGTATAAACTCACTTTATATGGTCACGTTTGTTCCGCTTAGGGATAATTATTGAGCCAACTGTGTCCTATTAAAAGTTCTAGATTTGTGTATGGTAAATTTACAAATGATCCAAAAGATAGGGAGTTTCATACAGCCTGTGTCCTGGTTGTTTGTTTACCAATTATGACCCGGTGCTTCTCCTGGTTATTCGGGGTGCTGGGAGGAAATCAGACATTGACTTAAGAGGGTCGTTACCTGGTTCAACAGTTTTAATGCTTGATTACAAATTTTGGAATATTAATGCTAGGATTTTGTATTTTGGAAGCCTGTGTGGAAAGGAAAACTTTTTTGATATTATATTTTATCTATACAGTATTTTCTTTTTCTGCATTTAGTCCTGCCATTATAGATATTTATTCTGCATTTTCCGTATCTCCAGTGATTCTTAATACTAATTGATAATAATGATCTTTCTGTTATCTGAAGGTTCATTATTGGTTTCTTCCTTGCCGCTATTCCTTGGTATGTTGGGGCCCTTCTTCTACTTTGTGCCAGAGTTGACTACCGTGAGAAACCGGGATATATTGCTTGCACAGTTGCTGTAAGTATTTCTTACCTCTCATCTCATTTTTATCCCTTAGGACATTGTTTATTATAATGTTTCCACTTGTGCAATTTCACTCATAAGTCAATTGATATTGATCAACTTTGCTTCACTCCTGTGGTAGTTCTGTTTGTTCCTTAAATAGTTGGCTATGCCCTAGTTTAACTATTACCTGTAAATGGCGCGCCATATTTGCTGAATTGGTCTTGAGTAATCTGAGCTTTTAATTTTTTTTTTTTTTTTTTGTAAATCTTAAAATAAAAAAGATAACTAGTCAACTCTTATCCAAAAAAAAATAAAAATTAGATAACTAGTTAACCGATAACTACTTTTAAGTAAAGAAAATAAATACTTATCAATAAACAAAAGTAAAGAAGATAATTAATTAGTTTTGAAATCAAGTAAAAAAAAAAAAAAAAAAAACCAATTCCGATTTCTATATGATCTGATCAATATATGACAACTGTCCATTAAGATGAGCTAAATTTGTAAGACTTTCTTCCTAAGCCTGTAAAAATGGTCTAAATTGATGGATTTAATGGATCAAGTAAATAAAAATTCGGTTTAGCTAAACATTTTAGCATTTAATTGCCATCAAATTTTAAGAGCTCAACAAACATTTTGAACTTTTTGAGAACAGGATAGTCAAATTGTATGGTTAGAAGTATCAAATCTAATTAATTTTAGTACACGAGATATCAAATGGAATATGGCTAGAGAACCTGACAGATTTTTAGCTGGAACCGTATTTAGTCCATGGCCTACTTTTGAAACTAGAATTTTGGACAACAAATAATAGCATGCAACTTCATCATGTGGCTTTTATGCAACTTAGATTGCATTTCAGTTCATCTGTTCACGGTGTTGGGCTATTCAAACTTTGTATATTCTTTTTGGATTTTTAAAAATTATAATTAACTCCTCGGTTTTCCACCTTTGGCCTACATTGACAATTTTTTGTTCAGAATAAGGAAGTGTTTTTGAATTGATTAAGCTATATTGATTGCTGTAAATCCTTTGCCACAAGAGTAAGATATATTGGAGTTGAGTCCCTTATAAAGTTCCAACTAAAAATTCCAACTTGGAAGGCACAAATCTCCCTTCACTCATCAACTAAATTGATTTGTTAGTCATATCCGCATATCGGTCATATCAGTCCCTTGATGTCATTTTAATATTGACCATCACTTGTTGCCTAAAATGTTCATGTGGGGGGTCTAGTGAAGCCATCCAAAAAGAATTATCACCTCTATGGTGCAGGTTGCACAAATGCATGGCTCACTTACACACAATTGCCTATAGGGAAATATTTGGAGTACTAAAGAGATTTATGGGACCATGTTTCTCATAATCTTTTAGCGTGCCAATTTTTTTCCCAAACAAATTCAGTATAACAGTTTCTAAAACATTTTGAGTGATTACCCAAAAGTTCCGTCCATTGAGTTCCACAAGGTTCCCTCTCAACTTTTCCAATTACTTTCATCCTAACTCCAGAAGTGGTTTCCCACCCTGCAACTGATTCCCTTTCTTAATATGATGTCAATTTGTTTATCGGTGTTAAAGATGACAATTTCTTTAATGCCTACTAACAACCACGAAGATGCACACTTCAAGCATTCTTGATTTAATATCATGCTTGCTGCTAGGAATAGCTGGATAAAGTACAGCTTGTCAAAGTGTTTTCATTTTAAATTATTTATGTTTGATTACCTGAAGTAATAGGTACAGCTAAAAAGGGGATCAAAAGAATAACATAATGCTGGGAAGGAAAAACCATGTTTCCTATCATTTATAGATGCTAATACTAGAGTGACATTATGTATTGCAAATAGGGTGGTGGACATGACAACTTCTGAAATTTGAATGATTTGGCGTTTATTTATTTTTTTGTTGACAAGTAATGAGACTCGACCAATGAACTTTAAGTCTTTACCTCTCCCTTAATATGCCTTGCCAACATATGTATCAATGTGTTACATTATCTTTCACAAATAAGGGACATGGTTTATTTTTGTTTTATTAATTAGAATTTTGGAATGTTGATCTACATCCTCATTGTGAGAGTGTTCTGAATGTGGAGAAACCATGAAGATATTTTTAGGTATATGGGCCAGAGATAACAGCATATTATGTCTTGATTCCTAACTGATAAGCATGGACACATTGAGAGAGAATTTCAACCTGGCTAATTAATAAGAAAATTTCCGCGGTAAATTCTTTTCACCCACGATCAACTTAACTCTTATAGTGCTGCTCTGTTTGCAGGCTATTCTTGCCACAATTGCTGTCGTGTTTGGTTTGACAAAGGATGACTGGTAATCTCCCAGGGAAGAGCTGTCAGGTCCTGGAAAGGGGATGAATGCATATGCATCGAATCAGAAAAGTCGACCTGGGTTATCGATTTGCACGAAGTCATTTCGTGTGAATTTGTAAATGCAATCATGAAGTACTTGAGGTTTCATAACATAATTTACTGCTGTTACTTTTTTCTGAACTGTGATGAAATGCATTTGAAATTTGTTTTAAGAATGGTTTGTTCACATTTCAATGCATCTATCAGTGTTTTACAGTAGAATATGTGCTGGACTTATTGGAACCTCAGAGTGAGAGCAAGATCGCAAGTTTCAATTTTGCTTGGTTTTTGTTCACCTGCACAGGTGTAATCTTGATCAATGTTCGTTCTGTTTCTGCGCGTAAAGTTGTTGAATGTGTAACTGCTAATATTATTATCTGAGTAAAAAAGATGGCACATTTATGCAAAATAGGGCTTAGGTCGATTAAATGAGAGAGCTTTTAGCCAACTTATACTGTTTTTATGAAAATCCTTATCTAACACACCCAAAATGAGCTAGTTAGAGTGACTAGTTCATGTTTCCAAGCTATTGACGAGTTCATGTTTCCACCCTCTTATTAATCTTTAAAGTCTCTTAATTCTTAAGTCCAACCAAACCCGAAAAAATAAAAAAAAAATAAAAATATATTACCTAAAAATGAAAAAAAAAAATTCCGAAGGAAATATTTTACAAAGTCTCAATTTAAATTTGAATTTTTTTAGTTGTCATGAAGTGCTTGAGTTTTCATAACAGAATTTATTGCTGTTACTTTCTCTGAACTATATGAAATCCATTTTAAAAATTGTTATAAGATTGTATTGTTCACATTTCAATGTGCGAACCTCAGAATGAGCATACAAGATCATAAAGTTTCAATTTTGCTTCATTATTGTTTTGACTTGTTACGTGCCTCATTCATCAGGCAGTAGTGATGGGGTACAATGTATTATTATCGATTAAAAGTACCAAATTTATGCAGAATAGGTTTAAAGAATGAACAATAATTGTAATGTTCTTATCATCAGTTCCTAACGTAGATAAATTTTTTGAGACACAGGAGAAAGTGTAATTTATCAAAATTACTGGTTTACAAATTTTCTCTCATCATACAAGCTTCTTTCATGTCTCTCATCCTAAAATGGTACAAAATGTTATTTGGTTTTGAATTTTTTTTAACAAATTTCAGTATATTATATACATATAATAGAATTCAATTTTAATTACAATTTAATTAAGTCTGATGCATCAAGTAATAGGAAATATTGCTTGATTTTGTTATCTTCCAATTTTAGAAAGAAAAAAAAAAAAGGAAAAATTAGTTTAATAAAAAAAAATTTAATAACAAATTTGTCTTTATTTTTATAAAATAAAATTTATATAAATGGGTATGATATTAAAATAAACATGTAGTTCTTTAATAAAAAAATTACTCACACGTAGAGTTAGGAGTGATAAATAACAAAATAATCTATTTTAAAAATTTATTTTTCTATTTGATTGAATTAAATAAAAGAATTACACAAAAACTAAAAATTATTGTTAATGTCTAAAATGCCTTTTAAGTTCTTATTTTGTTAATCCATTCACAAGTCACAACTAATATAATAAAAAAAATATTAAAACTAATTCTCTTAAAAAGTTAGATTTTCTAATAGGGACGCGACGGGACAGAGTGAGCAATTCATATTATTTGCAAGTTCAAATTAGTTTTTTACCATCTATTTTAATATTTTGAAATTATAAAATTTTAAAAAAATATTTTGATATTTTAAAATAAAGAACATTAATAATTTTTTTAATATATTTTATTTAATTCAAATAAACCATTACTACAAAAGAACACTCTATAATTAAGGACTCGTAATTTCCCTTCTTTAATTTTCCTTTATTTTCTGCTTAATTGGACCAAACGAAGCCCTCAAGTCACGCAACCTTCGTTCAGAACTTGGGAGTAGCAGATGTCAGTCTCTCTCTTACGCAACCTTCGGACTCACCCGTCTGAGTTAGCAGTCTCACGGCGGCGATTGCGCCTCTCAGGCACAACCAGCAACAGCGACGAAACCAGCTTCTCGGCATTCAACACCGGATTCGTCATCGTTTTCAATTTCGGTAAGATTCAACCTTATTTCAATTTCTAGGGTTTAGGCTTTTGGATCTATCTCACTCTCTTTCCCCTTTTTCCTCCTCCTCTCTCTATGTGACAGTCTTGATTCTTAATTTTATGCGTTCAATTTTCTGGATTTGTAATCAATTTCTAGGGTTCAGTTTTCTGGATTTGTGTTCAATTTGTTGTTGGTTTACAGTGCACCCCTATTGTTTGGGATTTCTAACCAAATTATTGTTTGCATTATAACATGAAAGGTAGGTTTCTTAGGAAAGAAGTTAGGTTTGTGGAAAGAAATCTTGATGCAGAACAGGTTATCGACTTTTGATTTTTCTCGCATAGTCGTCAGAATAGTTCTAATTCTTGGAATTTAGTCGTAGTTTTTAGTGATTTTAATTTTTTTTGTTCTTTTGTTCTGTTTTGGACTTATTTTTTAAATATGTTGTTAGGATTTATTATTATTATTATTATAAATACATGTAGGGCCAGAATTTGTTCAATAATCAAAAGTTTTCTCTGCCCCTATTCTCAGTGAATCAAATAAAAAATAATGGCAAAGACAAAATCTGCACTGAGGAGACAAAGAAGAAAAGGAAAAGCTGAAGAAATAGCACGCACAGGTACTGATCATGCATGCATAAGTGCTGACCTAATCAGCAATCTCCCAGATAATCTGCTATGTTCAATCATCTCACTGCTTCCTGCAAAAGATGCCGTTGCAACTTCCATCTTGTCTCGCCGGTGGAGGCCGCTCTGGAGGTTCCTTGTTCGCCTCGATTTCGACCCACAAATCATCAAAGAAGGTCAAAATTTGGTTATGGAGGATTTAATTCCATTAGAAATCATAGAAGACGTAATCTCGTCTCAACGGACCAATGTAACCGTCTGCAGGATTACTCACTGCCCGGACGACTGGCCGTCCCAGCCGTTGCTGAAATTGATGGACAAAGGAATAGAAAAGCTCATTCTCACTTCTATAAATGATGGGTCAAAGTGCTATTATGAGCCTATATTGCCCGCGGGTGTCTTCCGGTGTGAAACTCTCCGTGCTCTCCAACTCAATAACTACAAACTCAGATCCGAGTCCGTTGTGGCTTTCGAAGGTTGCGTGAATCTCACCACTCTAAAATTTAACTCGGTTCGATTGGACCCTGATAGTCTTTCCACAATCATATCTAACTGTGAATTCTTGGAGAGTTTGTGCCTACGTTCTTGTACTGGATTAGATTATCTTATAATTAATTCTGATGACATGTACTTGAAGTTTTCGGAACTCCGGAACTTACAGACAGGGCAGATGCATATATGTGCTAAGGGTGTCACTGATCTAGTGCTTAATGATGTTAAATGCTCCGAAATGTTTTATATTAACTGCCCAAACCTTAGAGTATTTCGATCTTATTGCCAAAATATTGCAAATCCAGATATTCTCAAACGAGGTCTGCTGGTATGTAGCTTTCTCCTCTATAGTTTAAGCAACCCTCTATAGTTTAAGCAACAGCGCACACATCCACTGACCCACATTATTGTTTTTAATAGGGCTCAAATTCTCTAATCTCATGTAACGAGAATAAATACTTATCAATCTTTTTGTTTCATTATCTCATTAGAGTCGAAGTGCTAAACGTGGAGAAGACTATCTTTCTCTCGAGGATCTGCGCGTGCTATGCACTGAATTAGACTTGAATGACGTGAGACACCATGTCTTACTCTCTTCCATCTTTAGAGTGAGCCTCTATTTACAAAAAATTGACATCACAAATCGGGTAAGTTGATTCAATGCCAGAACTTTACATGTGTATTGTATGGTAGCACTCTTTTTTTTTTTATAGTAATGACTAAGGTTAATGTGACAATATTGTCTATAATTCGCGTCTGAATTAAAGCTGTATCATTTAATGTTAATCAATTTTAAAGTTCAGGTTTGCCTCCATATTCATCAAATAATGAACGTTTTAGCATCAATTTATTTATTTATTGTATATTTTATTGTAGTATTCTTATTATATGTTTTTACTTTCTCAATCAGGCCCGCTGCAGGGATAATACAGAGTTCGATCTTCCATATTTTGAGTTTTGGGAAATATCTGAGGTGTTCGATAGCATAACTTATCATCTCAGGACAGTGAGGATAAGGGGTTTTACAGGAAAAGAGAGAGAAATGAGTCTTGCTTCTCATCTAATCAAGAATGCTACTAAGTTGAAGAAAATTGTGATACAATGCGACGATAACTGTTCGCTAGAAGGAGCATTAGCCGCGAATGAGTTGCAATCGCTGCCAAGGTCCTCCGTTGATGCTCATGTAATCCTGCAACCAGGGCACAAGTTTATGACCAATGTACTGGCCTCGAAAGAGCTTATAACCGATGATGTTGAGGTTCTTTTTCAACATTGGGTTTCCTCACTTGTTGAACATCACTTTTAATTTCAAAATTTATATTATCGTCATTATCATCTGGATTTTAGTATGGAATATGAATGGAGATATGGGGGAGTTTGGAAGAATATGAGTATATATTTTGAAAACTAAACATGCCTGGTTACTCTGCTATATACGGGCTAATCTTGTTATCTCTTTGTGAAAATGGATGTTGGGTTGACTATAGAAAAAAAAATTGCAACTCAAATTTCATTAATGAATATTGCACTTTCAATTTCTGTGACTGCCCTTTTGCTGTGGACTGGAATACGTGCAGGGGCAGCAATGCATATACTGAATAAATGGGTGAAATAAAAAGGAAAAACTGGTGGGATATGCTGAATTCTTCTCTCTTTCAATGAATTTAAAATTTCCTTTCAGCTGGGAGCCTGAGATATAAATCTTTTAAGTTAATCCAATATTTTTTTTCACTTATACTTGAAGATTGTGGAGATCAAAAAAGTTAATTCACTGGAATTGTTTTGGCTTCAGGATTGTGGATCATTTTTTTTTTTTTTTTTCTTCTTCTCACTTTAGATAAATTTGATGTGGAGTCATTAAGGATCAATTTATTCGGGATTCCAATGAACTTATTCCAATTTTATGGATAAGTTCTTGAATGGGTAATGTATTGTTCTAACAGGTGGTTGTTTTGCGATCAATTCATATATACCTAATCACTCTCTCATTTATTCTTCCTCACTCGAATTTAGGCAATGCCTTCGTTATGATCGGTCCATCCTGTTTACCCAGAGTCCAAACCCGGACGCCCTCTGGACTGGGCACTTAATGTGACACCGAATCAAGGATTGAGTCTGATTCTGATATCAACTGTAATGGGTGGGTGTTTCGCGATCCGACTAAAAATTTTAATTATTAAATAAGACTAACACCCAACCCATATATTACGTGTGAAATAAACCTTACACCCAACCCATATAAGACTAACACCCAACCCTAAGTAATATACCCAAATCAATCTAATGTGGGATAAACCTACAACAATTGTATATTACATGTATGATCTTTAATAAGTATTTTTATAATTAAATTATTTTTTAATTTATCTGGTAACAATTTTTTGGGGCGTGATACATCTTCCACCCCAATCATCGAAAAACCCTCAGACTTGGCATGCCACGACATTCCATAAATCATGCCACGACACACCTTTACTTTCTCTTTCTGAAGACCCAACTGCAAAAAAAAAAAAAAAAAAAAAAAACTCATCTCTTTCTCAATTTATTCTTCAAAGTTTAGATCTAAAAACTTCTATTTTTGAGATTTTTGGGTTTGTTTGTATTACATAGTGATAGTAAATGTGAGGAATCCAATTGACAGTTTGGTGGTGGTGTTTGGAGGCGCGCCGCCGGAAACTTTACCGGAAAAATCGAAATTCTCGACGGAATACGAAGTTTTAACGAAATCAAATGACGACATCGCTGATAAAAACCGATGTTGTTCTCCGGAAAGAGAAGAGAACTGTGAGAGTACGAGGAACAAAGCTCGAAAATCTTTAATATCTCTCCAGTATCTCCATTCTTTCTCTACAACACAGTAGTCCTTTGTCCCTCTCACCTATATACATAGAGATAGAGAGTAATAGTACTAGTACAGTATATTTATGATAAATTAACTGACACATTGCGATATAAAATTAGCATTATTATAATTTGCCTTTGGATCTAACTCTCAGTTGCTTGGAGGCGCGCCGTCGGAAACTTCGCTGCTTCAAATCATTCCCGACGACGACACCTCCACAACAGATCCAACCCAGTGACCTCCTTTGCCTTTGCCGTCGACATCCCGGGTCAAGCCGCTTCAAATCCCAATACCACAACGTCGATCCCAATTGACCTCCTTTGCCTTTGCTGTCGAAATCACGGGCCAAGCCGTCGCCGGAGCTTTAGTCATTACCGGCACAGAATGGACCCTCAGATGGAAGGCACCGAGTGGAGAAATGAAGAACAATGGAAGAAACAGAGGGAGAGAAAAATGGGAATCGTGGAGAGAGAATGAGAAAGAGAGAGAGAAAGAGAAAGAGCTGGGTGTTTTTGGGGTCTGACGTGGCGTTGTATTCGGAGGATATGTGGGTAGATTGGGTCCGAAGTTGTATCATTTTTCATATTTTTTATTACATTTATATTGCTAATTTTACAATATTATTTATTATTATAATATTATTATATTTGATAATAGAAACTTGTCCCCGTACAGTTTTAAAAGTTTCATTCAAAAACTTAAAATTGGTAACCAGCAGAAGTTATACAGAAATAAAATTGGTAATCGAATGTAATTTTTTTAAAATAAATATTTTTAAGTAGTTGAAAAGCAATTCCAAACGAACTTGGTGCCACGTTTATGCAGAACAGGCCTTAATTAAAGAGCTTTTAGCCAACTTAACTGTTTTTATTAAAATCCTTACCTAACGGTCCCAAAATGTTCAACCTAAGGTGGAGAGTTCGGACTCTTAAGATGCTTACATTGGAGGGGTTAAAATTTGAAATGGAGAGTTCGGACTCGTTTATCATCTTTAGAGTCCCTTACCCAAGCCCATTTCAGCTGACCTTAAACCATAAAGGAAAAAATGTCTTGACCTTAAATTCGAACCAGTTGGAGAGTTGAACGATTAGTTCAAGGAATGTTAGGCTTCAAGTAAATCTTTCTTATAATTTTCATTATCCACGTGGGGTTCGCAAATGTATGGTTTGCCCTGGTTAGTAATTAATGATCTGATTATGATGGGTCATAAACGGATCATTTATTAAATAAATGGGTCAATTCACATTTAATTCGATAACCTAAATATTTTTAGATACTAGTGATTTGATGGTTGAGAAAATGGGTCAGCTACTTTTCACAATAACCAGATTTCGGGTTGACCCGGAACAGTCTTGAAAATTATGACCTAATTTTCAAATTTATTATAAAAGTCTTTAAATTACAAAACTTTTCCTACTTTCCTCTTAAGTTCTTAACCAACAAAATAAGGTATTATCTTATTCTCTTTCTCTCTACTTAACCATACAAAAAAAGAGAAAAACACAATCTCTTATTTAGGAATGTGTCATTCATTTTTTTTTCTTTCATTTCATTTAATTTTCTTCCTTTCTATCAAACATTTTTTCTTTCCATTCCATTTAATTTTTTTTTCTTCCTATCAAACAAAGCATAAACTTGATGAATTGATTTTATTTATTATCATCCTGCTGGACCAACAATTAATTAAACTACTCTACTAAGAATATTTAATTAAATACGCATATTAAAATAATAAAATCATAAAGATAATAATAAAAAAATGAAAGCAAGAGGTTACAATAATCTTAGAATATCTCAAACCTACTACCCCTATAATTCAGGTTGGGTTTGGTCGGTTTGGATTGTACGACCGAATTGCACTCCTAGTTGCATTAGGACATGAAAAGGTTGGTTTCTTTATAAAGAAGATAGGCTTTTGGAAATAAATCCTAACAAATAAAAAGTAGGGTTTGACTAGGAAACTTTTCACACCTTCGATGGTAATCTTAAAAGGGCAAAAAAAAAAAAATCAGAATTTCCATCTCGCATATATATTGATAAAGATCAAAAAAGAAAAAGCAAAAATAATGATTCAGGAAACAAAAAAAAGCAAAAGTAATGGGAGAAACGAGTTGTGACGACCACGACGTAATCAGCAATCTCCCAGATGAGCTGCTATGTTCAATCATCTCACTAATTCCGGCGAAAGAAGCCGTGGCAACAACCACCTTGTCTACCCGGTGGAGCCACCTCTGGAGGTCCGTTTCTCGCCTGGATTTCGACCCGAAAAAGCCGGACACGGATGAATTTATTCGATTGAAAATCATCGAACACGTAGTGTCCTCTCAAAGGGCTAATGTAACATCCTGCCGGATTACTCACTCTCCGGAGGATTGGTCGTCCGGGGAGTTGTCGGCATTGATCGACCGCCTCAAAGCCATAGAAGATCTCGGACTCACCATGAGGAAGTACTTTCGCGGGACTGAGTTACCGGCTAGTGCCTTCCGTTCCCAAACTCTCCGTGTCCTCGAACTCACAAGGTACCAGCTCGTAGAAGAGTCCGTGGTGGCTTTTGAAGGTTGTGTGAATCTCACAACTCTAAAACTGAATAGGGTTAAATTTTCAGCCCCTGATCTTGTTTCCAAAATCATATCTAACTGTGGATTCTTGGAGAATTTGAGCGTGATTTCTTGTATTGGATTAAATGATCTTAAGATTTATGATCAGAGGTTGAAGTTTTTGGAACTCCGGAACTTAAACCTATTGAAGATGGATATATGTGCCAAGGGTATCACTGTACTAGTGCTTGATGAAGTTGATTTCTATCAATCCAAAAGATTTTATATTCACTGCCCAAGTCTCACAGTGTTTCGAGTTTATTGTAAATGTTTCACAAATTCAGAGATTCTCGAACGTTGTTGTGGTCTCGTGGTACGTGATTTCTCTCCTCTAAATATATACATATATGTATATTATGTACTGTTAGGTTTTTGGTAATGCCATTGAAATACTAATCAATCTTTTTCTTTCATTATCTCATTAGAAAAGTAGTACTGAATATAGAGGAGACGCTCTCTCTCTTGCTAATTTGGGCACGTTATGCACTGAATAGACTTGAACGACATGAGCGACAATGTCTTACTCTCTTTTCTCTTTAGAGGGAGCCATTTAGAGAAGATCGACATCACAAATCGGGTAAGTTGATGTAATGCCAGAATTAAAGTTACATTATAATTATTATACCTGTATATTCCTGCATTCTTTTCTTATATATAGTACGTAATGATGACCATAGTTAGTAAAAATTCCATTTTTTTACTTGCTAACTATGGTATTGACAAAGGTAAGTGTGGCCATATTGCAGGTTTTTTTATTTTCTTGGTTTCATTTCATGTTTTGCTTACATATTTATATGCTTTTTATTTATTTATTTATTTATTTTTAGTATTCTCATTATACGTTTTTAAACTTTGTCAATCAGGCCAACCGATATTCTAGAGAAAGAGATCTTCCATATCATGGGTCTAAGTTTTGGGGAAAAGCAGAGTTGTCGGATTGTATAACGCACAAGCTCAGGGTAGTGTGGATAAGGGGTTTTGCAGGAAAAGAGAGAGAAATGAGATTTGCTTCTCATCTCATCAATTATGCTACTATGTTGCAGAAAATTGTGATACAATGCGACGATAAATGTTCACCGGAAGGAGTAGTGACAACGAAGGGGTTGCTATCACTTTCAAAGGCCTCCAGGAATGCTTTTGTTATCCTGAAACCAGAGCGCTTGTTTACTACCAAAGTTGAGATTAAGGTTGAGGTTGATGATCATTTTGAACACTCCTCAGATAGTGAATGTGGAAATTTGCCCCCGACAAAAGGCAGTCGAACTCAGCTAAGCAATAACCCAAAAAAACAAAAAACAATGTAGGACTCGATGGGGGTCCCACTTTCAACATACAGTGGATGGGAGACGTTCAGCTTCAGCAGGTGAAATTTTCAAAAACTTGAATCATTTTCCTTTTGGATTTCGACACTTCCATTTTATTTATCATATGGATTTCAGTACAATAGAAAATTAATGTAGATATGAGGAAGATAAGTGAAAATAAAACATGCCTAGTTATTCTTCTATTTGGAGATCGGATTTCGACACTTCCTTTGCTTGTTTTCCTGAGAGATCCTCCCTTTTTGCTTTCATTGTTTATTTTGTATCATCAATAAAATAAGCACATTTCAGGGAAAAAAATGCTAGCACTATAGTCAAGAGTTATGAATTAAGTAAATTTTGGTGAAGTAAGCAAACGAATTCATGGCTTTTTGGGATAAAATCACATACTTTTACAAGTGATACTCATCCAACTTTGATACAGATGATGCCATTTTTTTCTTCCCATGCCATCCTATGAAGGGAAGGAGTATATGCTTGTTATGTTGATTGCCTTTTAAGTTTAGATGAGGAGTGACAACCTATATCAAATTAGATTCATGATAACACCACATATTATGATGAGATGATTTATATATATATATGTAGACATTGTATTCATGTAATGTAATGAATGGAAGAATTCCCACGGTTTAGGTTTGCAACACAATGTGTATGTCCTCATTAGTAACATATTGCATTAGTAGTTAACATCTCGAATAATAATAATAATAATAAGTAATGTGCAATTTTTTTAATTCAACCAAGAAGATTTATCAGTTTTTGTTCTTTGAAAACTATTTTGTAATTTTTCCAACCAAGCAGATTTTCAACCTGAAAAAATTGAAAACAGTTCTCTATTATGATTCTCTGAAAAATTGTTGTTGAAAACTGTATTCAAAGTTGCAATCCAAGCAAGGCCTTTCATTTTGGATATTTGATTTCAACACTTCCATTTTATATATCATCATTATCATATGGATTTCGGTATAGAAAATGGATGTGCGAAAAAAAAAACATGCCTAGTTATTTTGGAAGAAGTTCAATTATTATTATTTTTTTTTCAAGAGAAGAGTAATATTTAGAAATATTTATGGGATAATCCAGTTATTTTTTTGGGTTGACTAAAGAAATTTCTGGCTTTTGTTACTTGCATTGGAAGAAAATTGGAACTTTAATTTTATTGATGAATTTGTTACTTCCAATTTCTGTTACTGCCCTTTTGCTGTGGACTAGAATATGTGCAATGCAAATGCTGAATCTTCTCCTTTTTTTTTCAATTTCTGACTGCCCTGATGCGCTGTCACGGATGGTGCTTCAACCGGTTTAAGCATACCAATAAGCGGAGGAAAAGAAACTTAGGGAGGGTTTGAAACTCTTCGTGTCCTCCAACCCAATAACTACAAACTCAGACCCGAGTACATTGTGATTTTTCAAGGTTGTGTGAATCTCACAACTCTAAAATTCAACTTGGTGGGATTAACACCAAGTAGTCTTTCTACAATCATATCTAAGTGTGATTTCTTGGAGAATTTGAGCCTATGTTATTGTCATATTGGATAAGATTGTTTCTGAACAGAAGTTGAATTTTTTTGAATTCTCAACTTAAGCAAAGGGGGTTGGATATATGCGTGTCCAGGGTGTCAATGCACTAGTGCTTCATAATGTTAAATGCTCCAAAAGATTTTATACTAATTAACTGCCTAAACTTTATAGTATTTCGTGCTTATTCTAAAAATATCACAAATTCAGAGATTTTCCAACGATGTTGTGGCCTCCTGGTACGTTGGTTTCCCCTCTCTCTCTCTCTCTATATATATATATATTCAAAGTTTAAGCAAATACACACGCATCCACAATATTGTTTTTAATAGGGCTTGATTTTTCTATTGTCATGTAAATTTTTATTATTATCATTTTTTGCTTTTTGTTGAATCGTAAGCTTGTATAAATGAAGAGAAGAATGTACATGAAGTCCAAATAGGACACAACAGACCACAAAGACTAAACAATGAGAAAAACACAAAAGCCAAAGGGGCAACACACAGACTGCAACAAGAGGCAACATAGAGAACAGCGACAACAAGCCACACTTGTTCGGGGAGTTAGGCGCTCTATCAATTAGGTCACTGAATAATACCTAAGAACGTAGTGTTTAAACCAAACAATATGGTGTCAAGGGAATCTAGGTGAGGGTGGAGTGAAATATCTGATCGTGTGGGATTGTGAGAAGAGTTTTGTGGGCCAAGGTAGCCACTCAAGGTAGTCTTGGTCATGTATCTCTGTATATTGTCTTGTAATGAGAATAAATAATTATCAATCTTTTTCTTTCATTCTCTCATTAGAGAAGTAGTACTAAAAATGGAGCAGACTATCTCTCTCTCCTAGATTTGCACGAGTGCTATGCACTGGTTTAGACTTGAATGACATAGGAGATAATATCATACTCTTGTTTCATCTTTAGAACGAGCGTCTGCTTACAAAAAAATCGACACCACAAATTGGGTAAGTTTACATGAAAAATCTTGTTTACTTTTTACACTGTATATTAGCATTCTTTTCTCATGGTAATGACAAAGGTAGGTGTGACATGTAATCCGAGTCTGAATTAAAGCAGTATCATTTAGTGTACATCAATGTTACACATCAGGTTGCCTCCACATTCATCAAATAATGAACATCTTAGCATCCTCCTTTTCACTATAGATTTTTAACTTTCTCAATCAGGCCTACTACAGAGATAAACCATATTCTGAGTCTATGTTTTCAGAAAAAACAGAGTTGTCCGATATCATAGCAGAACGTATCACCTTAGAGGAAAAGAGAGAAATTAATGAGGCTTGTTTCTCATCTCATCAAGAATGCTACTATGTTGGAGAAAATTTTGATACAATGGAGGAGCAGTCATGACCACGAAGAGCTTGCAATCGTTGCCAAAGGCCCCCATGAATATGCTCCTGTAATCCTGAAACCAGGTCACAAGTTTTACTTATCAAAAAAGAGTTTATGACCAATGTTGCTGATCCTTTTGAATATTGGGTTTCTACACTTGAATGATACTGTGTTGAACATCACTATTAATTTTCAAAGTTATTATAATATGGATTTCAGTATAAAATGAGTATATATGGGGAAAATATATTATGAAAACAACACGAGTACTAGTTATTCTGCTATTTGAAAGAATGTGGAGATCAAAAAGGAACTCAAACAAATTGTTGCGAGTTAAGGGGTTTGAGTCTTTCTTTTTTTCACTTTCCATAAACTTGATGTGGTGGAGTCGCTACTTTTTTCAACTCATTTCAAAACAATGCTTTCCATTTCATGTTAAGGGTCAATTTTTTTGGGATTCCAATTAATGGTCGAGTTGCAGCTTGAGAGGCTAGAATTCCTTCTCAATAATATATAAATGAAACCTAAGAAGAACTTTTCTCAAATCTGTATTGCATTTGGGGTACTAAATTGGGGCTTCAGATTTGGAATTCGGACAAATTGTATTCTAAGTTTTAACTAATTTTTTTATAATTTCAAATTCAAACTGCCAATTCGGTAGTTTAATCACATAATTAAGGAGGCACATTGGTAGGCTTGAACTTGAAATGTGGTTTTGAGGCTTGATTTAATTACAATATCGATATGGTCTTAAAGTTCGAGTCTCTAGGTAAACAATTTTTGTAAAGAGAAATGTGTGAGTATCAACTAATATCGATATTCTAATTAAAACTTCTGGGTAAACAATTGTCTTTTTGCACAAATTTAACGATGCCAAGAAAAGCAAAATTGTACCGTAATATTTTGCCAAACCTGATGGGTGTCAGTGAAATTAACCTATACATTTTTACACTAAAGGCATAAAACAATGGTTTCAGCTAAAAATGAATAGTCTAAAATTTGTGTGTAAATATACTATAATACATCAGAGAGTCATGATCTCTTACTCCCCGTGGAACTAGAAAATTAATCTACACTTTCCATGTGGGCCGTTAGATTAAATCCAACTGTCATTTTTCAAATCCACCTATATCATTTCCTTTTAACACAAAATCACTGTCATCCTATTTTTAGTTTCTATATTTAATTTTACCATTATCACATACTGTAACAATAAAAGGTAATTATCAAAATAAAAATAGAAATCTTTGAAAGAAAAATAATATCAGTATATATTACTAAAATTTTGTTTTTCTTTAGATGTTTATTTGAAAGAAATATAGAAATCTTTGAAATAAAAATAATACCAATATATATTACTAAAATTTTATGTTTCTTTGAAAGAAACATCTTTGCGGCTTACTTCACCTCTCTTTTTTACGTTTATGTCAAACAAAGAAGAATTACACCAAGTCTTAGAAGGTTCATTTGGGGAAGGATAAAGAGAGATCATTTGTTTTATATCTTTGAACACAAGTGTCGAAAAATTCAATAAGAGAATTTGTGCCAAATGCTACTCCTCAAATCTAGTTAAGCCAGTTTGGAAACATGAGACGTCTTAAAATTGAAATAGAAAGAAATTTTGTTTAAACTTTAAATGAAAATTTCTCCAATTTTAATTTTAATTCTAATGTATCAATTTGATATTCCAAAATGCAACATTATTTGTTGGTAAATTTACTTTTACTAGAGAAGTATATTTATTTGAATTTTAGTATGTGCACATACAAAAAAGACCACATACTATTATACTAGAGAAGACAACATTACAATATATTTGTTCGTAAATACTATTGTTTCTTAGGCTCTATTTGGTTAGGAAGAATCAATTGGAAAAGAAAAGAAAGTGAAAATTTTATAACTTTTTTAAAATTTGGATAGGTTTCTGAAAAATTTAAATTCTCGTAACCCATTATTTTTCCCAAAACGTTTCCTGTCCAAAACATGCGAAAATAAAATTTTCTCCTAAAAGCAACGTCTTTATATTTTGCATTCTTATTTTATCCACCAACTATATCGATAATTGTAAACTACCAATAATTATTTTATTTTATTTTTTAATGGATTTCAAAGAATTACAAACCAATAATACTTTATTTTAATTTTATACTTCTATAAATAGTAATTTGTAAGTGTCAATTAATTTAAAACTATATCATTTTTTTTAGATATATATTACTACTAATTAATTCTTTATTATTCTACTATTTATTTTATTATTTTACTATTTTTATAAAATAAGAAAAATATAACATAAAGACAATTTAGGTAAGTACAAATATTTTAGTAACTTTTATGCTCTTCAATACAATTTTCTTGAATAATTTTCACCTTAACCAAAATGCATGCTAGAAAATAAATTTTCTTTTCATTTACTTCACTTTTCTTTTCAACCAAACGGAACCTTAAGAAAAGGCTCTAATATCATACTGTTGTTGCAAAATTGAATTATATACAAAATTTTGTAATATATATTGGTATTATTTTTCTTTCAAATGTTACTATACTTCTTCCAAACAAAATTTTAGTAATATATACTGGTATTATTTTTCTGTCAACACTACATCATCCTAATAAATTTCATAAATAAAGTAAATGATGGGTTTAATGGTAAAAATAATTTAAAAATTTATCTTTCTTTTTCTCTCACCGGTTAAATTAAATTGTCAATTTAAAAATTTATCTTTCTTTTTATCTCACCGGTTAAATTAAATTGTCAATTTTTTTCATTCTCTTCCATCCAACCGAACAAAAAAAATTCCTTCTATTCAATTTTTTTCCTTCATACCGAACGCAACATAAAGGGTATTATAAATATGGATTTCCCTTTTATTTTTTATTAATTTTTTAGGTTCGAACCCATAAGGTAGATCTGGGACCACCGGGCCTCAAGCCCATTCGTACGTTACCTTTTAGTATTCTTTAACTCTTTCAAATCGGATATCTCAAACCAACTAGGGTTTATTTTTTTTTATTTTTTGGTCCTAGCTACATTAGGACACGAAACGTCGGTAGGTCTCTTAGAAGATTTACAAATTAGGTAGGTTTGTAGAAAGAAATCCTAACAACTCAAAACAAAACTATTGCTTCACTAGGAAACAAATAGCAAGCAAAAATAATGGCATACCCAGGTGGTTCTCATGGCGACCATGATGACCTAATCAGCAATCTCCCAGATCAACTGCTATGTTCAATCATCTCACTGCTTCCCGCCATAGACGCCGTAGCTACTTCAGTCTTGTCCAGACGGTGGACGTATCTGTGGAGGTTCGTTTCTCGTCTCGATTTCGACCCCGCGAAGGAGCCAACGGACCTTCTTGATTTATGTCCACCAGCGATCGTTCTACACACAGTATTCTCTCAATGGGGTGATAATCTAAACGTCTTCCGGATCACTCACGGTCCGGCAGAATGGCGGTTCAGCGGGCTATTGCCGGAATTGATCGATTACCTCAAAAATTACAACAGGATAGAAGAGCTCGAACTCACTCGTATAAGTGATGATTATTGCTCTGATGAGGACTGGAATCTCGAGAATTTGGTGCCGGCCGGTGTCTTCGGGTGCCAGACTCTCCGTGTCCTCCAACTCAACAACTACAAACTCATACCGGAATCCATTGCTGCTTTCCACGGTTGTGTGAATCTCACAACTCTAAAACTCAACTTGGTTCACTTAAACCCCGACAGTCTTTTCGAAATCAGATCTAACTGTGGATCCTTGGAGAATTTGAGCCTGTGTTCTTGTATTGGATTAGACTATCTTAAGATTTACGATCACAAGTTGAAGTTCTTGGAACTCCAGAACTTAGAGCTTATTGACCTCGAAATATGTGGCGATGGTTTCACAACACTATTGCTTCATGATGTTGAACTCTCCTCCAAAAGTAATCCTTATATTAACTGCCCAAACCTTCAAATATTTCGAGCATGTGCTAAAAATCTCGCAAATTCAGATATTCTCGAACGATGTTGTGGTCTTGTGGTAAGCAACTAGATTTCTCCCCCCTCTTTATATAATATATTTATTTATTTAAAAGTTTAAGCAAATACGCACATATTCACAATATTATTCTTAATAGAGATGGATTAATCTCTTAAGCCATTGAATAATGCATAGTCTGTTTTTATGTAATGAGAATAAGTACTTATCAATTTTTTCTTTAATTGTGTCATTAGTTTAGTAGCAATAGATATGGAGGAGGCAAACTTTCTCTTACGGATTTGCGCTTGTTATCGACTGAACTAGACTTGAACGACATAAGAGACAATATCTTACTGTCTTTCATCTTTAGAGGAAGCCTCCGTCTGCAAAAAATCTACATCACAATTCGGGTAAGTTGATCCAATATTGCCAGAATTAATAACACTTTAATTGTATAAGCATTCTTTTCTTATAGTAAGACCAAAAGTTAAGTGTGACAACGTTGCATGTAAATCAATCTTGAATTAAAGCAGTAGCTAGTTTTTATTTTTCTTTTTAAGGATATGGTCTATGAACAATTTGGCATTCTTGTGTTTTTCATTGTAGGACAACATGTACAGAAGTGAACCAGAACCAAGTTATAGATATAATATTCTATATCCTCTTCCATATTCTGAGATGGGGTATTGGGAAAAAGCAGAGTTGTCCGATAGCATAACGTATCACCTGAGGGTACTGTGGATAAAGGGTTTTACAGGAAAAGAGACGGAAATGAGGTTTGTTTCTCATCTCATCAAGAATGCTACTAGGTTGGAGAAAGCTGTGATACAATGCGACGATGAATGTTCGTTGGAAGGAGCAGTCACGATGATGAGCTTGCTATGGCTGCCAAAGGCCTCCATGGATGCTCCTGTAATCCTGAAACCAGGGCCCAAGTTTATGGCCGAGGTTGGTGATGATTTTGAACATTGGGTTTCCACACGTCCATGATACTGTGTTGAACATCAGTTTTAATTTCAAATTTCATATAATCATCATTATTATATGAATTTCAATATATAGAATTTGAATGTAGATATTTGGAAACTAATCATCCCTAGTTATTCTGCTATTTGGAAGAAGTCCAATTTGATTTTTTTTTTTTGCAAGAGAAGACTAATATTTAGCAATATTTTTGGGCACATAATCTTATTATCTTATTATATTAAATTTTATTTTTTTGGACAATGAATGTTGAGTTGACTATCGAAGAAATTGCTATTGCTGGTTCTCGTCACTTCACCAAGCATTCGAAGAAATATGCAAATTGAATTTTATTCATGAATTTTGCACCACTGCATATTTACTTTTTATAATGGTGGAATTCCCTCGGGTAAGGCCCTTTGAACCCACTCTTAAAAGATAAATTACAAAAATACTGGTGAGACTACAAGTCACCAACAATTCAAGAAGAATGCTGCCTTCGATGTGCCTTCAAAATGAAAATTTACTTTTGAAGATTTACAATACGCATATGCTGAATTTTTATTTATTTAGTTATTTATTGGTAAGCAAGTGTGTATATAAGGAGGAGAAAATAAGATATGTTAGAAATATATATTTTTTTGTATGTAAATCAAGCCATATATATTTTTTTTGGTTCGCTTGAAGTTGTTGTTGGAATCGAAAAAGTTACTCCTTCATTCCGTCCCGCAATAAATGTCTAATTTTCTAAAAGGATTATGTTTATAGAGATTTACTGTTTATAAATTCAATGTAAGAATATTAAATAGTAATGTTAAAAAATAATAATAACAATTATTTTTTAATTGGGACAATTATTTTAGAAAAGTGTTACGAAGAGAGTAGTATTTCACCAGAATTGTTTAGGCTTCACCGCCTGAATATTTCTTTTTGGATAAAATACAATAAATGAATTTAGAACAGTTAGGTGAAGTTAAACTTATCAAAATTTAGTTAGGTGAATTCTTCAAATTTACTATTATTGATATGAATAACGGGTGATTATTTTGAAATACCTAAGTTGTCCTTTTTAATAAATAATTTTTCTTTTCTTAAGTGAAAATTTTACATCATATCATCAACATTTTTTTTTTTTGGAAAGATTTGAAACTTGACATTTCAAAATTCATTGAAAACACTAATCCACTGGGCTATCGAGACATCTGCATCAATATTTTACATTAATATAAGTAAACGTTTTACACTCTACAATATTAAAAAATAATTTAACAAATCATTTTAATAATGAAATTCTTGAAAATTTACATAATTTTTGTGAAAGTGCGTAGAAATCATTTAAATAAAAAAAATTTAACAAATCATTTTAACTATAATAAATTTTTGAATATTATTTTTTAAGTAAAAATTTTATGCCGAGTATCATATTGTCAACATTTTACATTAGTATAGTGAACGTTTTAAATTCTACAATATGACGGCCGATTAGGTATTTCAAAACAATTGACAGTGAAAGTTATTGTTCACATAAACCAATTTAAAGACTTCAAATTGGTTTATGTGATAAATTTGACTTCAGCTGACTGTAAATAACATCTCTAAGCTCATTTATTTGTAATTTTCACTTTCTTTATTTTTACTTTTCATAAATTTACTGCAGTGTGTTCTATTGCATTGACCGACCCACAATACCTCGTGTCTTTTGAGTCGTCCAATGCGATGCTATACCTACAGAACTACACCAAATGCCCACTCAAATATGATATATGGGTCATTATTATTAGGGTTACCTACAATGACACCATTCAAATTTGGCATAAGGATAAACATATATAAGTTAACCTATTTTTGAATAACGACAATTCTAAGTTTGATAAAGTTAACAAAGACACCACCCTTTGACACATTAAATTATCAATTTAAGCAATACAAACCTTTTTTATTGACTTAAATATCTTTGGATCAAATAAGTGTAAATGGGTTACCTGGTACACCCCATATGAGAAATCCAATTTTTCTCTTTCCCCTCTTAAACCCTAACCCAAACAAGCCGCCATTGCCTCTCCCTCAAACCCACCACCAAATCCCTAACCCTTTCCGCCCCTAAACTCCTTACTACCATCGTCTCCATCCCCAAAACCACCCATTGCCACCACCACCACAACCAGCCGCCATTGCCTTTCCCTCTGTTGATGGTGGTTCAGGATGATATGAGGATTATATTCCACGTGAACCGGGAGTGCTGAGATCAGTATCCAAGTGGGGACCCAAGCAACACAAGGGATTCCCTGGAACTCAGGGATTGAGAAAGGGAAGGCAATGTATGGTGATACCCAGTAGGTTCGAGCTTTATGGTACTTGGTTGTTGAGAATCCCTTAACTCTGCCTTTAAGGCTAATTAACTTCTCCTGTTTATAATGCTTCAAACGGTCAATATCCGTCAGTTATAAAGGTGAGTTCCTTTTTGTCCAAGGGGTCGAGGACCCCTCCCTCTGACAGATGGGACATTGCTCATAGGGTGGAGGTACCTGTAATACTCCTAGTTTTCAAAAGGATAAAATGAGAATATTTTGGTTTGTTTTTCATTTTTATTTAAATTATTGGACTTATTTGTTATTTGGTTAAATTAGTTGATTTATTATTATTTGTGTGTATTTAATTTAATTGTTATATAGTGGATTGGTTTATTTAATATTTTGGTTTGTTTTTCATTTTTATTTACATTATTGGACTTATTTGTTATTTGGTTAAATTAGTTGATTTATTATTATTTGTGTGTATTTAATTTAATTGTTATATAGTGGATTGGTTTGTTTAATTGATTAAGTGTGAATTATTTGTTTTAGATTAATTGATTTATTTTACTTGTTTATTGGTTTTAAATTAATTGTTTAATTGAATTGGTATTTTAAATTAATTAATTATTTATTTTCCTAAATTAAGGGTTTTTAGGGTGTTATGATTAAGTAATTAGGTAGCCGACTTGTAGTTGGGCTGGACTTAGGGTTAGGATTACTGGATTTGGGATTAGGGTTTCAGAGGAGTCTATATATATATAACAATATATGCTGCAAGGGTTTTGGGAGAAAACCCTATTCACGTAATGGTTTATGAGAGGAAAAACAGAGAGGTTCCTTGAGAAGGAAAAACAGAGGGAAATTGAGAGAATCAATTAGGATTGCAGCCATAGATTGAAGGTGGGATCAAGGAAGAAAGAGTCGATGGCTTGTGGAATAAAGCTGGAACAGTGGGAGAGTTGCAGGTAGTTTACCGTTCGTTGCAGAATTTAGCAACGGCGATGAAGGTTTCAAACCAGAATCTTAAGGCAAGTTTCATTCTCTCCTTCCTGTAAACTTGTGTTCTGTGCATTCTAAATAGACTCCAGGAATTTAATTAAAACTTTTAAAACAAATTTTATGCATATTAGTTTAGTCTGAAATTTGGTTAACCGTATACTAACTGAAGATGGCTTCCCTCGCATAAATTGTTAGATTATGTATTAAACCTCTGTAAATTAATTCATAATGCGATGTGGGGTGTTGTTAGGATGGTTAGGAAGTTAGTTAACCTTTATAATGGAATTTTGACACTCGTGATCAGACTTTAGATTGTTCATACGTTCAGTTAACTGTGAATGGCGTTTTTGGATACGGTTTTGTTTTGTTTTAGATTTTTTTTTGTCAATTAATGCATGCTGGATGGTGAGAAGTTTCTAGGGCTTTAAGAATTTAAATTGAACCCTAGGAATGTTAAAATACTTGGGACAGGAACGTCAGACTTCGCCGGAAACGCAGAAAAATCATCGGACGAAGTAGAGACGATGCAGAGGGGCTCTCAGGGGTGAGAGCCGGCTCCTAAATGGTGGGAGCCGGCTCCCATGAAGAGAGAGCCGGCTCTCCATGAGGGGGAGCCGGCTCTAGAAGCCTAGGAGCCGGCTCCAATAAAGGGGAGCCGGCTCCCATGGAAAAAAAACCCCTACGGGGTGTTTTCTGCAATTTTTTCGGAGTTCTGGGGTTAAACGCAAATACTAAAAATTAAAGGGGGTTTCAAATATGTTAAAATTAACCTATTAAGACCCTTAAATAGTTGGTTATGCTAGTGTGCTAATCTTAAGGGGCATCAGGAAACAGAAACGTGGAATAGGCATGCTGTCAAGGAAGGATGAATGTTTAAGTTAATAAATTTGTTTTAATAACTTAAACTGACTGGTATCGAATTACTTTTGGGATATTATATAAATTATTTATATATTTTAATGGAGGCCAGAAAGTTCGGTGTGGGATATGGGCATAGACAGTATTAACTTAAATATTAAATGGTATGCTGTCAGGAATGGTAGGAATTTTAGTTGCTAGTTTTGGTTTAGCAAACTAAATGGACTAGTGTGGGAATACTGTTGGGGTTTCATATAATGAGCAGTTTGGAATTCAGAGTGTCATATTATATCAGGCATAGGTTTTGGAGTGGAGGATCAAAGGGACGTCATGTGGTGTAAATGCTAACTTTTATGCTGTTAAGGATTTATGGAGGATTTCATTACTTGTCTTTGTTTTGGCAATTTAAATAATATGGTATGAGAGGATGGTTTGGGATATCTAGTATAATGTATTTAGTTCATATTTCTGACTGATCATTATAACAGGTTATGGATGTAAAGTGATGAACTGTTTAACTTCTGTTTTATCAATTGTATGGATGTGGATAATATAAATTGTTTATCAATACTTTAACAATTTATTTGGAGGATTAATGATTATAATCATATACTGGATGCATAATAGGATCTTAATAATATCGGTTTTCTATTGTGCTGGTTTCTGGATTTATTTGATGTTCTAATGAATGTGCATCGTTTATGGATCATTTGCATTATATGTACCGGTATGGGACGGTGACATATCAGGGATGGATTAGATCAAAAAGCTAAGTCCTACCCCTTCTTACATACGGAATGGATTAACTAAAATAGTTAACTCCTACATGGATACATGTCCTGTCAACTAAAACAGTTGAACGACATAATGGATGCT